TTTTTTCATCTGTTGGGAAATTTGACATCAGTGCCCTTCATTCGTCTGTTTGTGCAGCACTGCATGGGTTAACCATGCAGAGATTTTTAAAATCACGAGCAAAGTTAAGATTTTGCCCGTTGGCTCGATAACTTGACAGCTAAAAACAATATTAGAAGAGGCGCTTGTGTTTAGTGTTTTTGCCCTCAAGCAGCAAGCTGAGGGGCAGAGTCATGCACATGTGACGTCACGTTTCAATGTGCCTAAAGTTATGCTGCTATTGGCTTAGGTTGTTAGAGGACATAGGGATCACTTCTCATCACTCGACTACATTCCACTTCTGTTCTCCAGTTCTGCATTATCTAGTAGTTCAACTTAACTTTATGTTTTTCTTCTATTTCTATTATCTTAATCTGGCCTGGCGTTACGGTTAACAACTTCCCTTATAGGTGAGAGATACGTATGGGCCTGTATTTCAGTGTTTTGTCCTGTACTGTAGCTGTCCGAGAAAAAGCCATGGGCTCAGTGATTAACTGTATGTGGTCTCATTCATCCCAAAGCTGCTCTGCTCAAGAATTTCTCACTTAACCACCTATGGAGCTAGTTTACCTTTACCTTTTGTAACAAAGAAATTATTTATCTTAACAGCTATAATAGAAAACAAAAATAAACGTTTGCATTTCTGAAATAAATACACCCTAAAGGGTCATAAAATCATAAATCAACAGTGAAAGACTAAATTAAACATCTTTACCATAGCCTTAAAAGAGGCTTTGGTACTTTTTATCATATATCTTATATTGAAATATATCTGTATATGTATATATCTATATATATCTTATTATATAGCTATTGGGTTATTATGTTACTCTGCTATCTCATGTGTTTGCTGTTCCATTTACTTCTCCTTTATGTTATTGTTTTCTTGTGTTTGGTCAAGTTTTTGTCAACACCTGAAGAATCTTTCATTTTTCCTCCATCTGTAACATTTGCTCAGGCTTCCTGCTTTTTATTATAGCTAAATCCTGATTCCTTTCATTTCACCTGTTTTGAATCAATAATTACCACCTTTATATATATTGGCCTTGAGCTTTTACCACTTCAGTTATTCCTGTTGATATTTGTTTGAAAGGTTAGATTTGCTAATTTTTCTTACTCCAAGCATTCAGGTCATCATGTAAATAGTGGTGATAGTGGGGAACCACTGTGAGTTCATGCTGAAAAAAAACGAAAACACCTTATGAATGTAACAAAAAGACAACAAATATTCAGGCTGATTTTTCAAAACTGAAAAAAAAAAAATCTAGATTTTGATCAGACTTTAAATAAATCTTAATGTAATCCATCTTTTTATTATGCCTTGCAAGATTTACATGAATTAAGATGAGCGGATGGGTGAGGACCTCATTTGATTTTGTATTTACGTTTTTATTGGTTCTTTTGAATTTTTACAGTTCTGTTCAGTTCAGTTTTACTCATCTGTAATGAGTTATAGATTTAAGAGTTATTTCATGAATAGTTGTGAGATCTAATAGTTTATGCCCAACAAGTGATTATTGTGTCTTATTAAGTTGCAATTAGTGCTGTGGTTTATTTTAAATAATTCCTGTAAGGGCTTTTTAACATTTGTTTCACTAACTGATATGCTACTATAATAGTGGGTGTAGTAAAAGCTCATTCTAAATTCAATAAACTCAAACGCTTGTATCTTAGTAGTCTAGTGGTGTAATTTATTAAAGGCTGCCAAAGTCAGCTTCTTGCAGTGTGTGACTCTGCTGTCAGGCTGAACTTCTTAAGGCTTTTCTATCCCCTCCAGGAGACAAAACACAAAGTCCTGTCGATCAGGTCGCCACACCACAGCAAACTTTAAACACCGTAAAGCAGGGTCAAGCCTGGAGGTATTGGGGTCCTGGTATATCCATCAGGCCCATGTCAGACACGGTTTATTGATATAAGCAGCTGCAGGCAGATAAAGGAGCTAGAGCAAGCAGCCAGACATTAAGAAAGCTAGTAACAAGATGCCACCTAACATCTGCCCAGCAGACTCTGTGACATGAGACAAAGAGAATGATTCATCCAGCATGCTATGTATCACTCCCAGGCTAAAAGCACTTTTATTGTCTGATTTAGTTCTGGAGTGCTCCAAAGTAAAGAGGCACACATAGAATATACCATAACTAAGAGTCTTCTAATATGAGTAATCCCTTTGGCCAGAATAACAGCTGTTGTGCTCATATTCTTAAATAACGTATTTAGGAGTGGTATAAACCAGAATTTAAGTTGCTTTTCATAAGAGACAACAGCCTGATCCGGGACATGTTAAGTAGTTCTGGAATGCAGTTTCTGATCTGTTTCACCTGCAAGTGAATTGGTCATTTCCTTCTTTCTTAAATGTTTTTAGTCTCTAAATGAAGCCACAAGGCCTTTATTAAAATTCATGAGAGACCAGTTCAAGCTTTAATCCATTTAAATATTCCATTTTTTTTGTAAAATTGAATTATTTTTACTTGAATGTCTAATATTAAAGTGTAAATTGTATGAATTAAATAAATAGAATTTCATTAATATCATGAATCTCTTTGCTTCCTCAATTCTAATTTTTTTTTTTAACTAAGAATTGACCTTTTTGAGCTGAGCTTTGTTGTTTATATGATTTAAAGTAGTCTTCACATCTGCTATCAGTAATCTATAGGTGGTAACATCTAACAAACCTAAGATCAAAAGTCCTAAACTATCACTTTACAATAATGCCAGTAACTTTTATACAATATATACATATACACAAATATAAATATGCACAAAAATACCCGCAGCAACCCTGTAATGACTGAAATGCTTCACAAATATGTCAATGCCAGTCATAAAAAAGTACAAACATAAAAGCTCAGAGGAGCATATTTGCTTTTTTTAGGAATAATTTATTGCCAGTAGGAAAGCGTGAACTTATGGCAGTACTCAATAAAACCAATAACAAGACCATAGCACTGCTCAGAGACACACAGACACATGAAAAACTCCCCCAGTGCCCATGAATAACTGTACTATAAATATATCGGGTCCCATTATCTCGGTGGAAAAATAAAGACGTTTCAGAATCAACATTACAAACAGAACAAAAAATAAAATAAAAAATAAAACAAGAATATGCAGTCATTTATTAAAGACCCATTTTGCAAAGAGCATTACGAGACATTAAACTTTTACGAGTACACTGTGATCAGAAAAGTCACGCTTCTCTATTTTCTTTTTTTTTTACATTTTCTTTTTTATTAGTGAATGTACGCACAGAATGGCTGATTTCACACAGTTTATACCTTTTTTTTCATTGAAAATAAACTGAAAGTAAAAGCATAGAATATCTACAAAACCTAGTAAACTTTGAAATCAAAACTGTACACTTAAATTTACACTGAAACAAGGACTTGTATAAAAAAAACATCTCACATGGTTTCATTTTAGAAAACCAAAAATATTGTCATGATTTTGTATTTCTTTTGTAAGATTCTTTTCTGCTTCAGGTTGATTCTTCAGAAAAGTCACAGAGGACCTATTATGCTTCCTTTTAGGTTCTTTTCCAAGAGCTTTCAAACCTTTAAACCTGTACTTAGTTTGATATATAATTAAGGTTTTATTTAGGTACCGGTAAAAGGATTTTATTACCATTAAATCCTTTTTGTTAATGATCTCCAGTTGAAATGACAACAGTGGCAAAGGTGTAAAATGAAATGAAAAACATCCATGTTAGCAGTGACATTATAGCATGATGAATCTTTCAACCAAGAGCCAAAAACCAAGAATCCATAAATGCCCATGTAAGCTGGTGACAATGTCTCAAACTGCCACCTGCTTTTATGTAACACTAAAACAACGCCAGGCAGTAACATTCTGTTAAACAACTACAATTTGTCTCTCAGTATGATCGTATCTTTAGTGCATAGAAAGCTATAATATCACTCTGGTTGAATGTTTCTCAAGACTAGCGTGATATTTGTCTCAGATGTGAGCCGGTTTCTGATAAACTCAGACTAAAACTGTTGTTTACGTTAACTGTTTTTAATATTTTTTTTTATATCTAAACCTTGACTGAATATATTTTTGGAACAGAAAACAAAAGCATAACTGGTCATTTTTAAAGTAGTGGTAAAGCGATCTCCAACAGGCAGGATTTGATAAAAGCAGAAGCAAAAGCAACTTTTTACCTCTTGATATCCTTTCCAGCCTTTAAGTTCCCGTCACTAATTCGTACCCTTATTCTGTACCGTGCTTTGTCATTTTGTCCCCACATACCCAGACAACATTTACGTATGGGGCCATATAGGTTGGAAATGAAGAGAAAAACGGGTCCCAGATAGAAGTGACTATAGCTATGTTCACTCAGCAGCCTAAAGAGAGCCAAATCTGATTTTTTTTTTTGGATACATGCAACCTATATTTGATCTTTTTATGACAGTCTGAACAAGACAGATCTGATTTTTTCCAATGCAACCCAGGCCACTTGACTATGTGGATCTGATCTTTTCAAATGGAAGATTTCAATATGCACTCCACTAAGAGTTCGCATATAAGTCGCGTATATTTGGAAATGTGAACGAACACACAAAAGCATTGGATTTCATAAATAAAAATAAAAAAAATTGAGCATTAAGGCCTGCAGTGGTAACGTAGCCTTAGTTAACAGTTTGCATAATTGTTAAGTAAAAAGTGTGGCCTTAATACCCCTTAATATTGAACATAACTTTCACTTATAACTGTTTGAGAGCAAGCTAAAATCTATAGCTGTTTGCTGGTACCGGTTTTTCCTAGTTAACTAAAAGGATATTATACAGGGAGCCAATTGTCATACTAGGTCTACTTAGTACCCGTTCAGTTTAATTAACATCCATATAGGCCCCACATTCACACATAAGCTGGGTCCTCACAATTCGTACCTGTGATCAAACCACTTTGTACCAAGGTATTTATTTGTGTGTCCTTAAATTGTTATTTAAGTCAGGTATTGTCATAAATTATGGAAATAAATATAATGTGCAATATAAATTGACTGTCTATTAATTCCAAAATACTTTTTTATAATATTCTATTTCCTGTTCTGATTTCGGTTTGGTCCAGATGACATGTGAGAAATATTGTGACCTAAAATCCCTGATCAGGGCAAAACAGTTTTAAAGCAGCCTGTTGGTGGTGGATATTATTTACCAGAATCACATGATCACATTTTCTTATAGAGATCAGCAGCTTATAGAAAATGACTAAATCCTCTGTTGTCAAAGAGAGTAGGAACTGTCCACATGGGCGAGGCGGAATAACCCATTGTTCTAGGAAAAGACCAAAAATACAAAATGGTGACGGGGTGAATGACCAGCACCCCGGCCCTTTACAACTCCTCTCAACTGTTTTGCACATTAGCTATATGTGTGGTGCTCTTTCGTGTGTACACACATACTGTGCGTTATTAGTGTTGTGTCAGGGGCTACCAATGAGAGTAGCAGTGGGTTCAGGCACTTTTGTTTGGATCCAGTGTCAGACTTCAGTATGCTGTTGGGAGTTTAGCATCGGGATGGTCAGCTGTTCAAACTGGCCTTCCTCGCCGCTTTCGTAGTCGCTTATCATCACTTCAGACTCCTCGCAGCACGCTGACATGTCGGAGCAGGAGGCTGTGGATGTGTACAGAGACATGGAAATGTTGTCCAGAGCTGAGGAGTCAAAGTCCCGACTGCAACCTAAGGTGTACCCCTCTCTATAACCGTTGTTGCCCATGGTGGAAGAAGAGGTGATGGTAGCAGAGGTTGAGGAAGCACACTGGCCCTCAGTTTCGCCTCCATCACTTGGGTAAGAGTGATGCGGCAGGTATTGGTTAAGGCTGTAGAGCTGGGGCAAGGCTGGGCGCTGGTGGATGGAGCTGGAGCTTCCTGAGCCGGGCTTCTCTAAGCCTCTGTTCAGGGAACGCAGTGTGTCGCAGCGATCGTTGTATTCCGGCAGAGGTGGTGGTGGGAGGTCATCATTTGCAGGGAAATCCTCTGGTGGAGGAGGGAAATCGCTCTCAATGTCAAAGCCACCGGGATAGTAGTCGGTGTCTATGGCACTCGGATCATTATACTGAGGTGCCGGGGACTCAACAACCTCATAATGTGGAAACTCCTGGATTCCAGGAAGTTGAACACTTGGCATCCAATCAGATGTGTCCCAATGATATCCTGTTGGATAAACACACATATTAGGTTTTTGCAATGGAAAGTAGCTTTGCATCATGTTAATGTTAGAAATCAACATCATGCAAGGTGACAGCTGTGAGGCACAGAAAGGACTGCAATTCTGAAATTTACAGCATTTTCCAGACTTGCTTTAAACACCCTATTTTCTGGGTCAGTGATATGAATATAGAGGTCAGTTCAACAAATATTCAATTTGAATGTTTTATTACAACTTGTTATAGAAAACGACCCTAAGACTCGTTATCAGATGATGAGATGAGTCATTTTTGGCTTTTTCAACTTGCTTTTCTTTAGGCTGTTAATTTTCCTCCGGCTTTTTTCAAGAAAATGTGAATCGATCTTTAGTGTGACATATTTAAACATTTGCTGCACACTCATTGATTTCTATAGGAGAGGGACTCAACATTAAAAAAATAACAAATTATATTGTATAATATACTTAATATAATTATATTAAAGTTTACTTAAAGCAGAATGTTGGATGTATTTAAAAAATATTTTACATTTTACATTAGGAAAACATGATTGCAATATTGAGAGATTTCCTCTTCACTGTCGCTACCAGCATGCTTGGTGTGAGGGATTGCTTTTGAGTCAATGAGTCGATGCCATCAACTGGTTTTCCTTAGATAGAAAACTTTGAACCAGCTGACTATATGATCTGGTTGAACTGTCTTTGTAAAGTGCTGAACGATGACTTGTATTGTGAGTTGTTACTATATAAATAAACTTAATTGATTCCTAAAACTAAATATTACAAAAGTGCAGTAATGGATCCGCTGCACATTAAGGAGACATATTCAACAATCGTTTGATGAAATACATTTAAACCCAAAAGGGATCTTCTAACATCTACATGACGTTTAATGCAAATCTGTTCATCTTGCTGTTTTTTTTTTAAAGCTTTTAATACAAGACCTAAGATTTAGGAATTTTAAAAGTAAAATCACGTGAGGACAAACACACAAACACAAATGGGAACACATCCAGTTAGAGTCTAAGTAAGCAATGATCATCCAACACTATGTCACAGCCTCAAACCATGCAAGGTAGTGGTTTAGAGGGGACAAATCATCTCACATAGATGGGGACAAAATATCAGAATATCACTGCTGGGTTCTGTCATTCCAGATTTACCTTAAGGCATAAACACATTTCTACTATAGATTTCAGAGTTAGTGGTTAGGCTTTTCAGGATCAGCAACAATAACCACCAGACAAACAAAGATGTAAAAAAATCACCTCTTGGGTTCTTGAGATCATGAGCCAAAAAAGACTCTTTATGCAAATAGGATGGAGGAGAAAGAGAAAGACAAAGACATATTAAACCTTATCAGTCAGCTAGGAATAACAATGAAACAGCAAAGGGGATGTAATGGGAGGAGGCAAAATAATGCATAACATCTTTGCCATTTTCTTACACAGGTGGTGTAGGTGGCCAATTTTCTTTTGCATATGTACAAAATTATAGACAGTCATTTTTGGTATGACATAATGGACATGAATGTCTGATTAATTCTTAGTTTATAACGATTTACTTGAAGGATACTGGATTTAAAATCCATTATCCAACTTCATTTTGTTTAAAAAAAAAAACAATAACAGAAGTTGCAATTAATCTTGATTTTTCTCCAATTCCTGTTTTTAGAAAGTTCATTAATGTTTTAATCAACTTGCCTGGAAAAAAAGATACATGACGTTCATGTCCATAATGAACAAAATCTAAAAATAAAGACTTCAGCGTTAGATGAGAATTGTTTGTGTAAGATAATGACAGAGTCACAACCTGCACCCATAACCAGAGGACAACAATATCAGTGGACAAAAGCTGGAAGAGTACCTTCTCCTTCCACCGTGTCAACAGCAGAATTGACAAAGTGGATTACTGTCACAGTGGAGGCTTGTGAGAGGGAAGAGTTGAGGACAGAGACCCAATATTAGTAAAATTGAAAGCTTTGATCATTAAAAAAACAAACAGAAAGAAGCAAGCAATGACAGATGAAATGTGGGTGAAGTGATGGCAGCACAGGCAATAGGTCCCACACACATTGCTGTCCTTGTTTCTGTTCACACTTTTTTAGTTCTTTAAAGCACTGACACTGAGTCTGGAGGGGTTTATGGCTGGGAATGAGACAATGTCAGAGGCCAACACTATGGAGCGTGTTTGGAGCGAGGGGGATGGGGAAGGTAAGGTTCTGTTGGTGCAAGATAACACACAACTACATAAAGAGAGCCAGAGGGTACCACCGACAGTACAGATGGAAGAATCAGGGAAATTTCCCAGATATACAAAAACAGAAGATCATGTGTTCAGAAAGCAGATTTATGTCATGTGTTTCTGCAAAATGTAGAAATATTTAGAATTTCTAAAGGATTGGATGAACGTTATGGTAATGGAATGACCAAAATCCTATAGAGGTGCATCTCAGCAAATCACAATGAACAAGGAAAAATTTAGTTATTTAAAAAAAAAATCTATTTCAAAAAGTGAAAAGGTGTGTTCTATAATCTTCCTAAACAGAGAAAATGTTTTTCGATATTATATTTACTGGCTGTACCGACTCTAGCTGGCCGCAGTCAACTTCTTTTAAATTCTCTCCAAGCTTTTATATTATATATTTGATTCCCAGTCCTTTCAGCTCTATCTTTATGCCTGTTTAAGACCAATTCCTTTCATTCATATTCTTGCCAGCTTTTGTAGGGAAAGATTTCTGTGGCTTTTTTGACTTTCTACTGAAAAACTTTCTAATATGGATTTTTACCCATGATTGTGTAGGGTAGAAATTTGGATGCAATGGCTCTGTAAAAAACATTTTATAAAAAGGTCTGGAGTTATATTCAAATAATTGAAAAAAACAGTTTTTTTTTATTTTTCATTAGTGCTAAACTATAAAAAACCATGGTATCTGATACATCTTTATGTTTGACAATTTGCATTGTATTATTTAAAAATCTCTTTTGATCAGATATGATTTACTGAGATGTACATGAAATAAAACAAGAAGATGAAACAAAAAAAGACACAAAATGATGTATACCCTCTTAAGACACTCTGGTGATAAATATCCATGTATATCTAGTTTGGGTATAAAAAAAAACAGAAAAAAAGAAAGTAATAAATAATAAGAAGAAGTGGTTAATGGATTTAAAACACCTGTCCAACTTTTTTTTTTGAAGGTAAACTTAAATAATCTGATAAAGAATGAATAAAGAGCCAATTCCCAAGTACTGGAGTCCTTTGAAAATGATAATTATAGTAATGATAATCCCAGGAGAATACACAACACAGGGGGTTGTGATTGCTTCCATCTGTACCGACAGTGACTGAGGACTTACAGGCCGGACCCCACCCCTGCTTAAAACCTTGTTCTTGATCTGTGGACTGATTTGATCCATATGGGAGCTGAAGCCCCGCAGCGGGAAGAAACAGAAAGAAGACATGTGACCCCCACAGCCAAAACAGGGTCATCGATTCATGCAAAACTTCATTGTGTTAGCTCTAAATCTATGAGGCGCCACAAAAAAGATAAAAACTCATTACAAAATGCACATATGTTAAAAAAGCAGCATTTCTGAGAGTGTGATATCAAGGTAGAGAGTCCTGAAAGGATGGCAGCGTACCGTTGTCGTCACACGACTCTGACTGGAAGGAGCTGAGGGAGTGGACCTCGGACATGCTGCCTCTGGTGTTGTAGAGCTGACAGGCGCTCTCCTCCACAGGCTTCTTGGTCAGACAATGATCTAGGTCTACCACTTTAGCTGTAAAAGTAAAGATGTGAGACAATTAAGCACTGTGAGATGGGAATAAACCTTTAATCTTACATCCAAACCAAATAAAATCCCTTAGACGTCTTCACACAGGGCTGATTTCCCAATTGCATAAATGTAGACTTAGAGATTTTTATATTAAGACAATAAATTTTTGTTGTATACAGCTTACAACAATGTAATGAGATTGCAATTGAAATAAAACACTACTATATACAATTCAGTAGTGATAAGAATCTAAAAGTGCAGGGGGAAAACAGTTTAAGTGTGCAGATGAATGTTCAATTATGTGTATAGTGCAAAAAATAATGGAGCACAAGAGGCATTCATTTGAAAAGTTCAGTGTTGGCAGTGCAAAATAATAATGGTGCAAAAAGTTGCATACCTAAAAAAAAAATCATAATCATAAAGTAATAAAATCATAGTCAAGTGAGGAATTGTAATATATGGAATGAATATCATTTTCAGCAAATTTAAATTATATAGAAGCAACATTTGTGAAAGCTTATTTGTCTAAATATTATTGGAAAAAAAGCTGGTGGTGTGTTTAATTTCATCTTGTCTGCTCAGAAGGACATCTAGAGCGCTCGAATCGCAAATCAGGTAAATCCAACGTGTTTTTTTTGGCGGATATTCCAGTGTGTGTGGTTATCCCAAAGTCCAGATTAGACATGTAGCCAAGCAGAAAGTGTTTAAAAAAGATTCAACAACCCATCAATGTAGGACAATGTAGGAAGTGGAGCCCCTGCTAGCAATGCCTTCTCTAACTAATGTTTTCTGTATCAAAACTAGCACACAAAGCTCCTCCATTGCTTCTTTCTCACTGGCCAAATTTGTTTACTCTGAGCTCAAGCTCAAACTAGACAGGTTTTATCAGATTTCCCATCTTAGATTTGAAATTTTTTAAATTAAATCCTTTCCAATGTGTTGTGTTATGCAAGCAGTATGATTGTACACAACTTTTTTTTCACTAACTCGCATTGTTAAACATCACAAGTAAAATAATACTATAAGCAACATTTGACTAGATAAGCAGGAAACCTAAGCGAGAAATCTTCAATGGATCAACATCGACACGAAAACTGGATCGAATCACTTTAAAGCGATTGTGCAAAGTGAATCTGTCTCTCTGTATATTTTCAGATCAAAGGTGAAATAATTAAGAAACTTAGTACTAACATAATGTTTGGTATTAAAGCATACAAACAGGAAGGAAAAACAGCTATCAAATGGAACAGAACTTACTGTCATAATCATAGTCCCAGTTGGGCTTCTGTATGGAGTCACTATCTGAGACAGAGTTGGATGGAGGAGGAGGGGGGAGATTGGGCGCCACGCTGCAGACAGCTACAGTTTTACGGTGTCCATGGACAGAATCTGGGTTGAATGTTGTGAATTCAGGGTGCTCAGGAATGGTGGAGCCTTCAAACGAGTTTCTGTCTAAGTTGTTCCGTGAATCACTGGGAATGCTGGGAGTGTAGGAGATGGGACGCACAGGCACCTGAGGAGGGATGTCAGAGTAGATGTTCTTGTTGAGTTTGGAGTCAAAGTAAGGCCTGTGGAGGAAGGAGTGAGGCACGCTGGAACCGCCGGGGTGTTTGTCCTCGTTGCCTGTCCTTGACTTTTTACGACAGGCTCTCTTACGGATGATGACAAAGAGAAGGACCAATATGAAGATACTGGACACGAAGACAACAATGCCGATCACCTCCTCTAGGCCGATGTTCCAGGAGGTGGAAACAAACTGATTCGGGACCTCAACTGGGAGTTCACACATCTGTCCAAGGAAACCCTGCGAGCAGTTACACTTAAAGGAGCCATATGTGTTTTGGCACTGGCCTCCATTGGCACAGGGGCTATTGATGCACTCATCAACGTCATTCAAGCACCTGGGACAAAACAGTGGGATTCAGGGATGTTAACAACGCAAAACATCACATTTATTCAGATGGAGAATTTCAATCGATTGTAACATACCTGTTTCCCTGAAATCCAGCTTCACACTCACACACTGGACCATCCAGGCTGTCAATGCACTTCCCACTGTTTTTGCAGGGGTTGTCTCTGCAGTACGGCCCTAATTGGCACCTGAATTTCATAAAACATATCAAATGTGATGGGTATGGATTTTTAACACGTAATATCCTAACATTACAACCAAAACTTTGAATGTATTTTATTTTGATTTGATTATGAACCACCTTAATAGTACATAATTGTTTCCTCTGTTTTATCTAATCTTGGCATAAACACAGATTTTTTTTTAAGATCTCAGAGGAGAGTTATAGACTGTGGGTGACTAAACAACATCAAATAAAAGGTCAGGAGTAAAGTTTGATGAAGTTTTAAGCAGGTTTAGTTAGATAACACTAGAATCTGAAGGTTTGCACTGGGCTTTATTTAATATATAATCTAACAAGATGGGCCACAAGATCATTCATCAAAAAGGCAGCCAGGACACGCATCATTACACTGGAGGAGATCCCAATTTTAGGTTAGGGAATCTCCTAACAGGAAACAGGAATGTCATGCCCAATGCAAGTCTAGCTTTTTTGTAATAGATGCTCTTCAAACTCTTCAGTAAAGCACGGTGTTGGCAGCATTGCGGGGCTGGAAGCTTGTCTTTAGCAAGGAGAGGTGAGCTGGTTAGAATTGATGTGAATATAGATAATCCTATAGCAACTCAGAACTGAGTTGAGAAAACCTTAGCAGAAAGCTTCACCATATAGAAGTAAATCCAGGCTTAAATAACAAGAGTTAAGAAGAATTCAGATTCAATCTGACTTAGCATGAACTAATCTTAAATGAAAAAAAAGAATGAAATCTAGATGTGAAAAACTAGGGGAGAGATGCTCCATCCAAACTTTTAACTTCAAAAGGAAAGGTTGTTTTGTAACATAATTAAAATAAGTAAAAAATATATAAACACCAAATTTTCTGGATATCATTCGCAAAACAACTTGCATAATGTGTGCTTGTCCTTATTTCTTATAATGAAGCCCTTTTTTGTATTGGTTTACTGCAGGGGTCGGCAACCCGCGGCTTCAGAGCCGCATGCAGCTGTTTAGCAACCACCACATTTCTTTCATTTAATGAAAGAAATGTTTACAAATATCTACATTACCAATGCAGGATATCCTGTATTTTTGCTTTGCAATGAGAGGTTGTCAAAAAACAAAAAGAGGAATTTGGAAAGGCATTTCCAGGAAAGGCATGCTAAATATGCATCCGACCACCAAGTTGGGAGTAACAGAAAAGTGCGACTGCAGAACTTCTGGATAAATTAGAGGAAAGCAAAGATAGATTTAAGAAGTGGATTGCATCTCCAAACTCCACTACTGCTGCTGCTAAGTCGGTTACGAGCATGGAAAACAATTCACAGATCGAACAGGTAGCGCTCTGATTCAGGGATGTGAACTTCCTTCCATTTTTTCCCTAAATCCTCAAGATTAAAAATAACACCAAGGCACGCTGGTGACGGTGGATGTGAGATTTCTGGGTTAGAGAGTACTGCTCTGATGGTTGTCAGTTCCTGCTTGGTTCCTCATGACTCCCAACAGAAACACGTCCACCTTTGAAAGATTCCTTTTCGTGTTTTTTATGATTTCATCGACGCAACAAACCCTAAAACGTGTAGTGAATTCCATGCGGTGAGAGCGTTCACTGCTTCTCCCTCACCTCATGCTATTATGTGACATTTGCTCCAGAATAAACATTTAACCGTGAATGCTTATTATATATCGAAGCCCATGTAGTCCTTTTTTATAGTGGGCTAATAAACTTAGAACCTGTGTTGTGTTGCATACGAGCCTTATAGAAAACTTTTATATTTTTGCAGCTCCAGACAGATTTGTTTTTGTTTTTTTGGTCCAAAATGGCTCTTTGAACAGTTTGGGTTGCCGACGTGCAATTTATAGTAATACACTGATATATGTGCTTATCATGTAAAAAAGATTTGAAGGGAATTAAATAATTCCCAAAAGACTGTTAGTCATAATCAACCTGAATATGAATGCTCTGGAGATCTATCGGCTTTACTTATAAAGGAAAAACATGTTTCTGTAAAGAAGGTCCAGTAGCAAGCTGTGTAATACCTCTGTCCTGAGTACTGCCCTCTGCACTGGCAGTAGAAGTCATCCGCACGAGGTACGCAGGTGCCGCCATACAGGCAGGGGTTCGAGGCACAAGGACTTATTGCGATCTCACAGTGTGTGCCCATCAAAGAAGCAGGACACTTGCAGAAGTAGCCTGAGGAGTTTACCAAAAAGAAGACTGTTAAGGAAGCGGTCCTGAGCAAAACTTATCTGAAATCAAAATTCTAAAAAGAATGTAGCTGTTTTTTTTATTATGCAGGTGTTTCATTAAAAATTAAACACATTTTAGAGATTTTCTACAAAATCATTTAATGATGAGGCAGCCTTCATTTGTCTCTTCTGTTTATAATTTATGATTATACAGTAAATAAAATAAAATAAAAGCAAAGGAATATTTACCTCCATTGGGCAAAGAGACACAGCTCCCTCCATTGGTGCAGGGATTGCTGGAACAACTCTCAGCAGGAGCAAGTGCACAGCCCGGGGCCACGTCAACGATGTCCTCCAGTACTGCGTTGCCCAGCCGAGCTCTGGTGTTGAGAGGCATTTCTTGACCATTCAAATGGATGGCCTCCATGCAGCCGCGCAGCCCGTTGGTGACAGGCAGGCTTCGGCCAAGACGTGGGGAGGGGTGCTGGCGGAGGTGTCCACCGAAGTAAATGTTGTTATCGAGGTTAAGAGTGCGCAGAGTGCCTGGAGCTGCGCCGGAGGCGGCGTGCACTTGGTCCAGCACCAGTTTGGCGTAATTACCATCCACCTCCAGGGAAACAGAGTGCCACTCCCCGTCGTTAACTTGAGCACTTTGGACTGAGACCAGGCCTGGACCGCTACCGCAGTCAAATTTGTATTGCAGGCGGCCATTTAAGATCTATTTCAAAGATAAAAAACAGACAGTTGGAATGTAAAAAGGCTAAATGTGCAGAATACATCAAAACTAGCCAATCATGTAACTTGGCCTTAACTTTGATATAGAATATAGCTTATTACATTTACAAAAAACTAATATACTTGATTTTATATTTAAGCATCTAAAATTTTAAAATAATATGTATTAAATAATTCATCGCCTCTTTGCCTGGCCTGCAGACTAATCTTGTGGACAGACTGAAAAGGGAATTGTGAAAAGTGTGAAAGAGGCTTCATTCTTCTCTATGGGCTCGTTGTGCAAACCAGAAATGCCCACAAAAGTGCATTCTCCACAAATGACTGTTTTGGTCCTTCTCCTCTCATGTCATACTATTTCTATTCTCTACTTCACCAAAAGGGTACATACAACAATCAGGGATTCATCTGCAGGCATTTATTAAGTTTTGCTCACTGCGTACCTTTTCACCTTTAGTGTAAGAGACTTGGAGATGAGGGCAAGTGAACTGCGGCAAATTGCTTACGTCGCTAATGCTAAATCCACAGGAATGTTTTTATTTTTTCTTCCTTTAAACGGTCTTTCAAGCTTTTCAGCTAAAATATAAATAGCTGACTGGGTTCAGAAAGGGGCATGGTCTGTTTTATGTTATTCTCTTCTTTAGATATGGTGATGTTGGGCAGTTAAGACGGCACACATTATAAGTCTGAAGATGATAATGAGATACAGCAAAATGAGTCACTACACACCTCCAGGATGCTGTAGTCTGTCCCTTTGGCATACATCACAGTGGCATGGCTAGAGAAGGTCCTGAGCCTCAGAGACAGCTTCATCAGCTCTTTGTTATCATTCTCCATCAGACGGTACTTCACAAAACCATTTCCACTGAATGTCAGTGAGTGGCCATCTGTAAAAAGATAAAAGACATTCAATTAGAACAGCAAGATCAGCAGAGGTGCTGATATAAAACACTGGGTTTAGAAATCAAGATGTTCATTTTCACAGCAATTTTTTGTTTGTTTTTTTGTTTGTTTTTTACATAATAATGATTCAGAATCTTAATTCAAAACAAAATGTGATACAGTGCAGTCTAATAGCCCTTTATTTCACTTATGTTAGCAACACCCGTAACAATTTTGTACTTTAGCATTGTTAGCATCTAGCACTTAGCAAGTCACAATATTCTCACAGTGCTTAATAATCATTTGTGCATTGTCTATAACCATAAAGGTTTTTCCACAGTTCCCAAAAGGCATTGAGATATTCTTAATAGACGTAGGAAGGAATCAGCAAGGCGTTTATATGGATTTTTCCTACTCTAACTGTTCCAGTATTAGTACTACAATCTCATGGGGACAATAACAGGCTTGAGTGTAAAAGCCATTCCTGAAGGAAGTGGGAGCAATCTTTCATATTGTTTAGGCTTCAAGTAGCAGTAGGTCATCCAGGCTGCGAGAGATTAAAGAAAGGGCTAAATCGCATAAAAGCAAACATTTTTTTTTTTGTTTTAACCTCAGTTTGTCATTAAAAATGAGTCTTTTGGAAATCTCAGAAATAGGGAAAGGGTTTACATTATCTAAGGAATGCACACAGAGACTGTTATAGCTGTGTTAACCACGCTAACCATTTAAAGACATTTAAGGATGCCATATCCATAATCCTTTTGTTTATATTTGAATAAACAAGACCAGGTTTTAATGCCATTACCAAGAAAATGTCATGCCATCACGTCTACTCTATATATACTCAGTAATGACTGCTCAAAAGAAACATTTCATTATTGTTCTTGTATCTTAGAGATAAGATGGACAATATAGACAGCATGTTGGAATAATCTAAAATAATATATACTAAAAATAAAGCCAAACATTTAACCCACATTTGTGACACAATCATTTTAAATTTGAATAAAAAAAATCAAAGATAGTAAGAGGTGTGATGAGGGATAATAAAAAGAGAAGCATTCTTACCGGAGCATTTGCCCTTCCTGCCCTCAGGACACACACAGCTATAAACAGTATCTCTTGGGTCAGCCACACAGTCCATCCCTTCTGGACAGGGGTTGTTTTCACACAGGTTGTTCAACACAGGACATCTGCCACCTGAATGTCATAACAATTGTCACAGTTAGAAACAGGAACTTAAACAGAAAAAAAACCCTTCATATACTCTAGTGTAATTAAATTACCGTCACACTGGCAGGAGGCCGTCCTCACATGCCGTGGGGTGACGAAGCTGAGGCGGGCAGTGCTGTGGGTTGACATGCTGGTTTTGTCCAGGGAGACAACCTCATCACAGAAGTGTAGCGGGCAATCAAGCCCAGCACACAGCTTCTGAACCACACGCACAATGCGGACACCAATCATGTCCTCGATCACAGCCGCAGAAGAGTTCAGTTTGCGGAAGACGACCTGGGGAATAATCAACAGGAGAAGACTCAGACAGAATGATAAGTACCACTTAAGAGTTTCTTTATCTGTAGATTAGCAGGCCTTGAAGACAGAACTGCAATGACTGAGAAGGGTACAAATTTAGAATAGATATAGGAAAAAATAGGTTTTATTTGCTTTTAAGTTACCTGAAAACATCCATTCTTTAAATTTAGACCAATGACTTTTACATTATGTAAACAAAACACATCTGATAGGTAAAAAAATGAAATTCCTCAAGGAACTTACCTCCTGGGATTGATACGGGCTGCCAGATCTATCCAAGGTCAACAGGACATCCAGATCTCCTTGCTCAGGCTGAAGGCTCACTAACTGAACCTCACTTCTCCTGACCCCGGCGATGTTTCTGAGCGCTCGCTGGAAGTTACGCCAGTAGTCCCCAATAAACTCTTCTGGGGCAATGTTTGAAAAGCGCACCGCTATAGAGTTGTCCAGGGCCTGACGGGATGCCTGACGAATGTGCACATTGACGTCCGCGGGAGTCGTAAAGCGTCCATCAGTCACTGTCACATTCAGAGGATAGTGGCCCACATCCAGAGGCCGCAGGGCGATAATTTTGCCATCTGAGGATGACACTGAAAACAATGCTGCACTCTTATCCACAGATGGCGAAGCCGAAGCAGCGAGGCTGTAGGTGAGGGTGTCGTAGATGTCCTGGTCAGTGGCATGAATCTTTCCTAAGACACCCCCGGGGTATTCCTCACCGGCAACAGAGACAAAAATGTCCAGTGGAAGTACAGCTGGGGGATAAATGCTCTCTTCAATGATGCGCACACTGATGAAGGCAGTGGAGGAGAGCTGAGGCTTGCCACTGTCTGACACCTGCACAAGAAAAAATAGACTATGAAGCTTTTCTGTTTTTCCAACACCAGAGGGCAATCTAACTCTTCTACTCCTCACCCATTCACTCAGTTAACAACATCCACATATCGCAAATGCTCCAGAGACAGATCCAACAAAACATTAACGAGATCAAACATTTTAACAACCACACTTTCACAGATTTTGGTATTTGGTTTAGCGTGAAAAAAAAAACAAAAAAAACAACTATTATGACTCAACTTTGAGCTTGAATCTTGTGTGCACAACGACATCACACTTTTCATGTCCCATCTGCCCACACATTCCTCCTCTGTTCCTTCCACTGAGGTAACACGGAATGAGGCCAAATCAAAGCTGCTGTCTTCTTTCTACAGTAGTCTTCTATAAGGTGCACTCAAGACTTAATGTCTTCTTATATTCAGCTATTCTTATTAGGTTTCCTTCAGTGCTACAGACTCTTAGTAAATACTTCTGGCAAACTTAGGTGATTGAGAAGCTTAAAGAAAAGCATTGGTAGGCAGATGGGAGAATATGTAGATGAACAGTAGTCTGCTGCAGCTCGACAGTTAAATCACTGCAAACTCCCCACCTTTATCACCTTGGCTCTGTGACTCACCTGTGCTTGAAGTAGGTAGTGTTCTTTGGTTTTCCTGCTCAGTACCCCTGTGGTCACAACAGAACCCTGCTGATTGATGTGGAAAGCTCCGCCATGGTTCCCATCCACAATGGTGAAGGTGAAAGGTGGGCCGTTATGTGATGCATCTCGATCACTGACAGCCAGCTGAAGAATACTTGTGCCTTTTGGTTGATTCTCCTGTAAGACAAGATGTGGAAGCTGTAATCAAAAGAAAGGGTTTACTCTGAATCATTGCTTTCTCTATTACATAAATGTGGTGGTTTTGTGGTTAAACAGGCACTTAAAGAGCATAATCTTTTGAATCTTTATATATATATAATCCTTTAAACTTAGCCATTTACATTTTTTAAAAGAGTGAACAACTGATTTCTTTTATGAGTTTCTTAGGCCAATGAAGTCTCTATGCTGTAAAATTGGTGAGTGATGGAAGGTTTTCATAAGAGCTTTTATATGTAGCCATGTTACCTTTAATGATGAACTTTCTAGTTTTTAAAATGGACAAAAGGAGAGGTAATATCTTTTTTTGTTTACACATCTTGTGTTTATTTTTTTATTCTATTTAATTGTATTTTATTGTATTCTGCTGAATCCCTTACATTCAACCTCACTATTACATTCATTTGTGTTAAAAAAGTGCTAAAAAAACTATTGATCTTCCTGAGGCTGTGTGCAGATATATATACCCTGAGACTTTCTCAGGCTTTGATCTTAGGGAATTACTACTTTGATCAACCCCTAATTGGGCATACTATAGAACCAGTAAAATGGTTTAGGAACGTTCAGGTCTGATGCACTGTACAAGTTTCCATGATTACTGTGCATTAGTTACATACTGTAAATATATATTTAGAATTTGAAGCCAGTCAGAGGTATTCAAAATCATTTATGTATAAATCTATGTAAAGTTTTACAATAAAACTATGACTAAAGAATGGATACTTTTTTTTTTCTTTCACATTCACGTCCCATTTCACAAAGTGTAAAATAAGAAGCTCTATTTACCACAGTTGACTTTATGGGATCCATAGGTCAGTTCGGGAGATATTGATATGAATCACATTCTCTGGGTTTGCTCGTGGATGTGACATGCTTTACGCTCCTGTTTACCTGATCTCTTTGTTGTGTCTATGCTGCTTTTGATGCATTAGCGAGAGAAATTACTGCTTCTAAAGATGCACAAAATACTAGCCACAAGTGTACCTTAAACCGAATCGTAGACTCATGCAATAAAAAAGGGTAATCTGGACATTGATCAATATTAAATATTGGAGAAATTTTTCACAAATGAAGGGAGCTCAGATGTGCCCTGTTAATAAAAAGAGACCCAAAGCTTGCCCTATTCTTGTTAAAGGTAAGGAGCTCCAGTTAAAATAACCTCAGTATCTAAAGCTTAAAAATATATATCTCAGATGACTTTACGCATCTTAAGAAATGACACGTGAAGCCGCAGAGGCAGAATGTGGTAGGTTTCCTCTCATTCCATGTGTGGGAACAACACTGGTGTCATTTCAACATGTCACCAGAGCGGGCAAACATCGATAAAAACTCTACAACTTGTGCCATGCTTCTGCCTTTTTAGTCACAGTCCCTTTCCAGAAACAGTATGACAATCCTAATGATAGAAATACATGATTTCTAAATGTGCACAAATGGTGAGTTTGTTCATCAGTTATTTTTATTGCATCGACCCCCTCATTTATTACCTCGTATTGCTCTTCTTTGTCTTCTTAAAAGGGCAGGGAAGAAAACTCTTCTACCAAGCTTTCTCCACTCCATTAATGTACCTTCCTTTAATGCCTCACATCCATCCCCCTTACTCTAATAAGCTATCCCTTCTCATCCATGCACCTAGCAGATTTCATTCTCAGTCACTCCCTTCATCCCTGATCTGCATTTTTGCACTTTAAATTCAACCTCTGTCTTTCAGTACCCCTGATTCTTCCTTCCTCCTACCTTTGTTCTTCCTTCATCCTCCTACTTGCTTCTTGATATTCTCCTTGCAAAGCCTTCCCTTATTTTTCTCTCTTAATCCCTCTCTGTGTCGGCTGCAATCCCTCCTGCAGCCCCATCGTCTCTTTCTCCCTCTTGATCTATCTTTTTCACTCTAATCAGCAATCTACACTCTCTGCTTCCTCCCCCTCTCACCTGGATGATGAGGCTGTAGTTGGCCTGGGAGAAAAGAGGCGGGTTATCATTGACGTCTGAGATGTCGATGTTGATTATGGCAGTGCTGGACAGAGGAGGCACCCCATTGTCTTCGGCGACCACCTTCAGAGTGTACCCTGAAGTCTGATGGAAACATAGACAAAGAATGCATTGTAAATAAACGCAGCTGCTTTTCGGACTAATAATGTAGGTCACAGAACAACTCTTGCAATTAAGACTAGCATGACTTCTATTGGATTATGCAAAGATTGCAATAACTTCCTCAATGGATTAAAAACAGTCAGCAATGCTGCTCCACTCACTCTCTCTCTATCCAGCAGGCGAGCAACTTTAAGTTCTCCTCGTAGCGGCTCCATGGTAAATGGGCTGCCTTGGTTGCCATCGACAATGGAGTAGCGAATGTGACTGTAGGATGGTCCATCAGAATCCTCCGCCATCACCTTAGAGTTCAATAAAATCCCATAATAATTCAGTTAACAACTCTCTGTTATTATGTCAGTGTAAGAAAAATGGATAAAAATAGTAAGTCTGCCTTTGGAGGAGCAAAGATATGCAAAAAAACTGTTTTCACTTGAATTGTGTATGATACATGCTTCATTGTATTAAGTAATTGTGTTATTAATTTTCCTTCTCACTTTTAAGCTTTTTCTTACATCATAAAACACAGAATTTGAACTTGGCTAAATTTCAAAGGGCCACGGCAGATTTGTTATAACCCTGCAGCTTTACTTATACACAGCACACACACACAACAAATTCTATATGCATAACACTAAACACCATAATAAATGTCAAATTCAGAAAGGGATCCCTGGGGAAATTAGCTCACAGAAAGGATTTACAAGTATAAGACAATGGCATGCATTAAAAACAAATATTTGACGGTTCATTTATATTCAAGTAGCTGAGATAGATGGATAACAGACTGTGAGTGGGGCTCAATTTGTGTGCCTGACTAAAGTTTACTCATACCTTACACTATATAGGATGTCTGTTGGGTTTTAGCATGCCCCTAATGACAGTATGCCCCTAATTTAGCTGCTGCACCAGATGGTCGTTTGCCACAGGTGGAGATAATTGATAGAGAATTAAGCGAATAATATGTGGAAAGTAGTGAGGAAATGAACAGCAGAGGGAGAACATGGCTGACAGAAAATTAGGAGTTATGAAAACATATCAACCCCTTCATACCTGTTTTTGAAAAAATATGAACGCCCTTACCGTTAATACTGTCTTCCCGAGCTCTGCATCCTCACTGATGACGGTAGTGTAGATGTCCTGGCTGAAGACTGGGTGGTTGTCATTAACATCAGTGAGGTTGATATTTACAGTGGCAATGTCGCTGAGTGGAGGGGAGCCCCCATCTGTGGCCTCTATGGTGATGTAGTATTCATGGGAGGCCTCATAGTCCAGTGCCTCAATCACAAATACGTCACCTGCAAGGGAACAGGAATTTGTGCTTACTCAATTAAAAGAATCAAATGTTTCAAAATGTAGCTTAAAAAAAGAAGTATAGATCAAAGCACAAATGTTTTCTGTACAAAATTATCTTATGGCAATTTTTTCTACAAAAAAATCTGTTGAAATGAGGTCAAGTGTGTAACCAGGAGCCTCTCAAAAAACTGCAGCTTTATTACTGTTTAGGTTTTTATTTCTGAGGAATCTATCATAGGAAGTGGAGGCCTGCTGAGGTACAGTTCTCCTGTAAGAAGATTTAAAGGTAGCAATCTAAAAATCCCCACTGTTTGTATCAAACTATCTTTATCTTTATCAGAATCAGTATCAGACATACTTTAATAATCCCAGAGGGAAATTACAGAATTACATTATCTGGTGAAGTTAACCCAAGCAGTTGTTAGGAGTAGCAGATGTGGTCAATAAATGCTGGATGTCAGAGCCTAGTATCCACATACAAGTCTAAAAAACTTAAAGCAATCTCCCAATTATGCCAAATTAAAAACTAAAACCTAAAAACTAGCGGGGCAAAGTCTTTTAGAAGCACTGAAAAAATCTTTTTAAATAACCTGTCTGTATTCAAGGTACTTGGTAGGAAAAAGAAAACCATAGAAACATCTTTCCATGATGAGGGGTTCATTGTTATCGTCCTGACTGCATTTAACTGTTTCTAGGTGAAAGAGGATCAAAGGTAGGTCAAAGGTGAACTGGATGATGTTATGCTGAACAGTTTTTAGAATAGCTTGAGATTGATGATCTTTAATTTTATTTGTAAAAACAAAAACATTTTATTAGCAATGCAATTTTACCATTTATAATACATCAGAATTGTACAAGCTCATGAAACACTACATATAGACTTGTCAAACCTATTCTATTTTGGTATCCCCTTATACCCAATCCTAAATGACGAGGATCACTTTATTAAATTGCTCTGTTTACATTTTAGCAACTATTGTGGAAGAGAGCTATTGCAATATTGAATCATTCTTCATATTTTCGTTGTAGATGATGCTTTAATATTAGATGATAATGAGATTGTTGAAACTGCAAATACTATTATCAGAAACATTTCTTCTTGCGCTTAACAAGTAATATCATGAAGAAGAATGTTTCCATTAATAACAGATTAGTGACGTATATCATCTTCAGAAATTTAGACGGCACCAGTTTGATGAACTGATTCTAAATAATCCAGTAAGTTTATTCAAATCTGAGCTGATAGTTTTTGGATGAAATCAAAAACAAAACTGAAGCTCAAACCTTTAGCTTCTATTTGGGAAACATGAAATGACAGATCACAATAAAACATTTTTTTTTACTTACCAGTGCGGGGGTCCACACTGAACATGCCATGTTCATTCCCACTGATGATGCTGTAGGAGATTTCTCCGTTAGCGTCTGAATCACGGCTTGATGCCTGTACTCTTATAACTTGGGTTCCCATGGCCACATCCTCAGACAGGTTGGCTGTGTATTCGCGGTGCTCAAAGACCGGTGGGTTGTCGTTGATGTCCAGCACTGAAACTATCACCTCACAGAGTGAAGAATAACGTGGAGAGCCCTGGTCGCTAGCACGAGCCTTCAGTTTGTAAACTGACTGCACCTCACGGTCCAGTGGGCGCTCCAGGGTTATCACACCGGTTTGCTCGTCAATGGAGAAGAATCCGTCAGCAGAGTCAGCCAAGGAGTAGACGATGTCACTATTAAGACCTGGAATGACCAAAAATAATGATTCAGTGATTTTTCCAAAATGGAAACATTAATGGGACTTAAGCAACCCCTCTTTTTTCCATTAAAAGCTTAGAGTTAATTGGTTTGAGTGTCTGACAGAATTTCATCCCTCCCTTAAATCAACGGGAACAAGCATCCTCCTTTTAACCCCCGTTAATTGCTGCTTCATCGGTGCTGTAAAGTCCTGTCATTTATTTTACTTTTGAACCAATTTTCATGTTTAAAAATCTGAAATGTGTCACAGAGAGAATGACATTTTTTTCAGATAATGCAAAAAAAAAAAAAAAAAAATCAGCTTTTTTCTGAGATCATCAAAAGGTTTTAATTTTATTCAGGGAATGACCGTCCCTCAAGATTTTTAAATGCATTGTGTTTTCTTTTGCAATTAGGAAGTACTTTTGTGTTGGTTCATAACTAAAGCTCCATTTCAAATACTCTGCATCTTGTGGTTGTAACTCTAAAACAAAATATGCAACATTTAAAGGGGTTTTAATACCTTTGAAAAGCACTGTAAATGATCCATGGTTCACTGGCTGCTTGTGAACACCAGCTGTAAAAGCCTGATCTACGCCATCTTCATAACTCATGTCCTCCCACAAGTGTGATGTACCCAGCAACAAGACAAAGACTGATAACGATAATAATCATAATCCTTTCCTGCAGGTGGTCTCCATTTGGAATATGCTATTATAGTCCCATTTATCAGGTGAGTGCCCTCCATCCTGTCTAGATCTCATTATAACGCTGGGGAGATGACCGTAGGGAACCCCGTTATATGGATTCTCATCACTTTCATCCGATAGGAACATTTAGAAAATGTTTGCTTGATGAGACTTAGGAGAATTGTTTTATAATATATCTGCCCGTATTGTCTTATATGATTACTTTAATGATGCATATCTTTGTCCCTGGGCTGAAATCTTGAAAATTAAACAGAGCTTGAAAACATTTGGTTAATTAAGCTGTTACTGTATAAACAGAAAATGAAATGGCTGCTGATATCACATGCAGGGTGTCCTCATCAGCTTAGAAAGACAAAAGACCTGCTTAATTTAAGCAAACATGAAAGCTGTTTATAGCACAGTTTGTTCTATTACTTCAAATGCCTATAGTAGTTTTCCTAAAATGTCCATTGTCCCCCTAGGCCGGCGGGCGGTCTTTGCTTCAAGAATTTCAAGTATTGCGTTTTCTTGTTCCCATAGTGGGATCAAGAAAGAGGTAGATGCAAGGAGACACTATGGAAGACCCAGAACTCACTGGAGCAGCTATAATTACCACCTGGTTCTGTGGTAATTATAGCCTCAGAGGGAATAGTGGTCGAATCGTGCATTGGTGAAAGATAGTGAATGAATGAATTAACAATGACAAATTAAAGCTAGACTGGAATATGATTTCAAAAGTTTATGCAATTTATAAAAGATTTTTTAAACAGTTTGTGAATTTGTGAAATCGTTTTTCTATTAACAATCAAAGTATTTGAGATTCTCCAATAATAGGTTAAAAAAAGCAGGGAGTTTGTAAAGACTTTACTTGGGACTAAAGAAACATTCAAATTCCCCCAAAATAGTAGAACTTTAGAAGCAGAATAAAGGAAATAAGATTGCAGAGCCAGGGGCAAAGAGATACACTTAAATCCAGGTGGTGAGATAAAGAAAAAAGCAGAATCAGAGAGGGAATTTTGAAGTTTATCACAGATCAAGGGCACCAGTCTGGCTCTGTGTCTCTGTCTGGTTTATAATCATTCTGCACTGATAAGTGCTGCCTCTCAGAGATTGTAACGGGAGGCTGAACTGGGAGAGCAACTATGTGGGTGAGGAACAGACATCATAGAGAGATCACAAAGACTGTGGCACACAGCAAGCAGTGCCAAGAATGAGTCCATTTTTAAAATTCAGAAAGTATGGGGTATAATGCAATATTTCTCTCTGAGGAGGAGAATTATATTAGATTTTAAAATTTCATGCTTCAGTAGAAAGACAACCGATTGAAGGCTGTGTTAACTGGGTCAAACCTACATTTTTTTTTTTTGGCTCTCTACGAGAGTGTCTGAGTCAAATGTGCAGTGTTTGAAGCTTGTAGCAAACAAGAAATACTACACAGACAAACAAAAAATTTACTCTAAATATATAAATATAATATATCTCTACCTGCCTCTGGCTAAACTTCAGGGTGTACATTGTTTTTTTCCTCCACTTCTGAAATTGCTCTCGTCCTTGATATGTTAAATCTAAAACGCATTTTTGCAAACCAAGCATGCGCAACAAGAAGTCTTAATGCCAGCTTTGTTTACACCATTTATCATTTGACTCTAAGGGGCCTTTTTCAGGCATGTTATTCACTCTGTCAGCAGCCTCACTCCCAAAGAAAATAGAACGAGACAGAGAGTTGATTCTCTGTCAGTCAACAATCTGAAACGGTTCTTCGAGCTTGGTTGTCCTGCTTCAGTAAACTCAGAAAGCAATCTGGAAAGGCAGGTCCACCAGTCTGCTAGAAAAAAAAAATCTCAAGTAATTCCAATGGCTATTAAATTGGAAGGTTTTAAGCTCTCAGAGCTATCCATGTGTGAGCCTCTTAGTGATTGGCAATGTTTACTGAAAGGAGGAGACGCCTGAGATAAATATGTGGCCCCCATGGTGATGCGCTAGGTAAATGGAAAATTGCAATCCTCCCCTTTGAGAATTTAGCCTGAAGAGAGAGAAATTTCATTAGAGTGTAATGGAGCTTTTAATTTTAGGGGTTGATCATTCATAAAATTTCACATTTGTTATCCTTCCCCCATGTCATTTAGCCTAATGCAGCTCTACAGCGAGAAGATAATAAGGGCACAGCGAGTCAGCACTGAGCCAAGATGAATGTGTAAACGCCTTAATAGTAAAGATCGACTGTCAAAGTACATTCTGGAAATCACCTGAGGTTAGTGTCTCTGTGTGACTAAACTATTAGACCAGCTCACAAGTAATTTGCAAGTTTATTTTCTACCAATTATCTTTTATTACCACAGTAGGAAACAAAGATGGTGTAAAGAAGACGGAGTATAAATACTTCAATTCTCACCTAAACAACAGACTCAAATGGAGTAGCAACTGTAAAGCCCAGAAAGGTTAGACCAAAGGTACTTTTTTAAGAAGTTAGGTAGTTCAGTGTTTGCAGCAGGATGCTGCATATCTACAATAAGTCTGTTGTGAAGAGTGGGATGTCTTCTGATATAATGCCAAAAAGCTCGACAAGGCTAATAAAGAAGGCCAGCTTTGTCCTTGTTACTCTTCTAGAAAACTGTAGAAATGATTTCATAAACAATATGTTTTTTTAAACTAAGACAATCCTGTAAATTCTCTTCTGGCTTTGAAGGGTCCACTGTAAGACATACCGCTGCAACATATCCTTCATGCTTACAGCTATTAAAATCTTTAACAACTTGCTGAAAAAAAAAAAAACTAAACACTAAGTATTCTAACGGTTTGTTTCTTCTGAACTTGAATCTAGTTTCTAGTGCCGGTCTCTATCCTCTTTTTAAAGTTGTGTGATGCTATTTTGTTCCTTCAAACTTCTACCTGTGCTAAGACCATTATAAGACTGTTATTTACAGATATTTTCTTCACTTATGAGGGCAAAAACTAATACAATGCTCAGATCTCAACAACATATATAGGCATTTGTTTACTATTTTCAATCTAATAGCTCTAATAAAGACAGTAAACACACCTTGTATCCTCCAAAAGTGTTGCTAATTTGTCTTATAAAATGTGACAGATTGTGATTATCACTCCTGATTAATCCAAAACAACTATGAGTGAGTTTCAGCTTATAGATAATATCTATTACAGATACAAAACCAAATTACTCCACATCATACTGTGAGTAGATAAAATAATAAAAGTTTTATACAGTCAGTTGTAAAAGTAGCCAAGGAACATTTCTCAATCTGGGTAGAAATGGATGCATAGTTGAAACAAAAATTTCCATGCATGACAAGTACTTCTGGCACCAAAAACAGTCTGTTACAGAAGAAAAAGTACCAAATAAAGAAATGTAGTTGACTGTGGATCAAGGGGTAGAGTGTTCCTGCCATCCTCTGTGTGTGCCTGGTCAAGGCAACCAATCAAGAGTTGTCTTTTGGTCTCTGCTGGAATATCTGCGTGTTTGTGAGCACGTTTAAATTCGGCTATAATATAAAATGGGTTGAGTGGTCAGTTCAACTAGAAAAGATTTTATTTAACAATTTGTTGCACATTGATTTGTTATGGGCTGGAAATGTTTTTATTACCGTATTTTCTGGTATTTTGTGCAATTAATTATTTTAAAAAACTGGAATTGTACATAAATAAGCCCCACTGGGCTATAACCCACTGATATCTACTAAATTTTCTCCCACCAAACCTGTAGGGGGAGCTCTACATATAGCCCCCAGTGTAGAAGACAGCTAGCTCCCATTAGCTTGTTGGCTCGCACTAGTAAGAGCTTCTACTGAAAGATGGGGCTTCGTCAGCTCTTTAGGAGTTGAGCCCAGTCTCTTCCTTGGTTCGTTGCCTATATTGCCGAAAATAAATGTCAAAATGTGTGAATTAGGCACATTTGTTCTCGGTCATGCCTGCTGCTAGCATGTTCTTGTGCTAAATTAAAATTAGTCCTTTATTCTTCCATTTCCAACTTTGACTTCCCCTCTGGCGGTTAGAAAAATCTGCAGAAAAGCTGCATCTTCTTATTAGCCGCATGGTTGGGGGAAAAAAATTGGGAAGCGTGGGAAAAAGTAGCAGCTTATAGTCCGGAACATATGGTGATATTTCTTTTTTTACATGCCATTTTATTGAGACGTTCATGTCCACTTTTCAATTTGAACATTTTAAATGTGAGATCTTGAAAAGATGGAATTCCAAACAGAAAAGACAGATGGTCCCACCTACAAATCCAATATGTCAGCCTTAAATGTAAATTGGATGTATGGATGGCTCAATGGGTGAGTGATAAAAGAATGTTTCATTTGTTTTCTTTTTTTCCATAGATCATTTTTCTAACTCCAGTAACTTTTCTTCAAGCTCTGAAAAATATAATCTGCAGGAGATGCTGATCCTGGATTCCTTCATGAATCAATGAAGATGATGGAAGAAAAAAGGATCTTTCAAACCGTGACAAGTTTTCATTCTTACCTAAGAACCTTTTCACACTATATTCAGTTTGAAATACGTCTGTGGCGAAAATAAAAAAGATGGATAAAAAAACTGGTGTCAAGTGATGCATTAAACTTTTTCTTGAAAAAAAGACAACCCATGGAATAAATCCGAGAAAATGAAAAAGTCTTGTTTTGTACCTGGGAAAATCATGGCTATAATGACTATACATTGCATTTAAACAGCAAATTTTTACTTCTTTTGTGGGAATGTGAAAGCATGTTAAATGGTATTCTCTAAAATAAGGCCTAATGTTTAGAAATAGATACCAACTGTTCATTTTCAGTGACATTTTAAAAATAAAGCTAAATTAAAATGACATTAAGCGACTGACCTAACTTCACATGTATCAGACCACAACGGACTCAGCTTTCTGTTGAAGTACAAAAAAAAAAAAAATCTCCTTACCTGTGTCAATATCATGTGCTTGCAGTTTTCCAACAAATGTGCCAGTCTCTGTGTTCTCAAACACTGTGAGGGAGTAAGAGTCGGATGAGAAATGAGGTAAGTTGTCATTGACGTCCTCCACAGTGATGTGGATTTCAGCTTCGCAATATCGTCCTCCTCCATCCAGTGCTCGCACTCTGAACTTGTGCTCATCTTGTTCCTCTCTGTCAAGGGGCTGCAGTGTCTTCAATTCACCTGGAGAGTAGAAATACATACATATAAGACTGTGTTAACTGACAAGCACAATATATAGGTCAAAGATTGAGCTTTTATAAAATCTTGTAAGACATTTCAAGCAACTAGTAGTTTCAGGATATAACAAAGGAAAATAAATACAATAAATTATTCAAGCGCAAGAACAGATAGAAAGAGGCAAAGCGGAAGGAAGGAAAACATTAGAGTTGGCAGCAAAGAGCAGCTTGAAAGCATCTTGGGAGGCAATACAGTCAGCATTACCACAACCATGGTGGAAAACTCCAGAGCCTCTTAGCAATCATAATAAGCAAGTCTCCTAGCTGTCTTTGCTACAAAAAAAGAGAGAAATCCTTCTCCTTAGCAGCAGCATTGAGTGCTACCAGAAGACAGCTGGATGGTCTTTTCCCTCATTCTCTGTTTGCATGACAGCAGATGTGAGGAAAAGCTGCTAAAATCGACTGGTTTAGTTCGTTATGCTTCCCTTTGCATTTACTGCACATAGAATCTTAAAAGAACAGGTTGATTTTGAATAACTGGTACTGTTTTTATTTTTTTTTTCCTTCTTCTGTTTGCTTTTCCACCAAGCAGCCAGATGGAACGTCTGATTTATAGTGGTTCCCAAAGGAAATAATTTGTGAGAAGTATGGGAGACATTAATTCAATCTAAGTCTGCTTCACTGTGATATTGTGCTGCTGAAAGGCTCTAAAAAGCACAGCAGGGAAATGTTCTGGGTCCTTTTTAAGAAATATATGAATACAAAGTAAATAAAAAAAAACTTCTTGATCTTCTGGGGCTTACACACTCAGACAAGTGCATGCATAAAAACAAAACCCTTTCCAAAGAAATAATTATCTCTTGAGATTGTCAACCTGCTGAGCCACTTTTTGTTTAGTGAAGTTCTGCTTTAGGCTGAATCATGATAAACTTTAACGTGTCTGAATAAATGCCCCCAATAACCTGAAAAACCTAGATAAGTAAGTAAAATTCTACACATTCACACTCATTTGAATTTAATGTGATGAACCAATACAAAGTAGCACATACTTGTAATGCAGAAAAATGAAAAAATAAAATCCTTAAGTGTCTAAGCATTCAAGTCTTGTTACTCTGATATCACAGCAATAAGTCCAGTACAGCCATTTGCCTTTAGAAATTACCTTACACCCCAATAGTCTACCTAACAATAATTTAACTGTTTCCTGAAGGACTCAAACATTTCTTAGATGATTGGAGTTCAAATGTTATCATAAAGACCATTGGGTATACCGGCAGACCAGGGGTCAAGTTTAGGAGAAACATACCTTGTTACAAAACAATATCCTTTGAACAACTCCACATATGACCATTGAATTAAACCGACAAACCAAAAAACAAGAGATTAAATGAAAAAGAGGCCAACAGGTCCAAGGTAACTGAAAAGGCTCTACATTCCATTGTTAGGACAATGTGAAACAAAAACTATTAGCTAATCAATCCTCAAATGGAAAGTGATAATAATTTCCATTTGAGGTTTTCTGAAATCAATTTAAATGACCCAGTTTGCATGTGGAAAGACTGTCTTCTTGTTAGTTGTGGAAAACAATTTTTGTCCCACAAGCAAAAATTATTTGGTAGAAATTTGTCATTGTGTATAATTTTGAACTAGGGCATTCACCAAAAAGTCATCAAGTCGATTTAATTATGCTGAGTTGACTTGCATCTGGACAACTCGCAAATTGTCTCCTCCCCCTCACTTGCCAGTTTCGACACAACATAGTGAACCACAATTTTATTGTGCGAGTGACAGAGGTGTTATGCTCTGGAACGCCGAACAACGTCATCGGCATCAATGTCAACGGCACCACCCGATTCTCTAGAAATGTAATGAGTTTGGATAGTATCACCACCTACTACTAGAGTTGCATCTAGATGACGTCGCATTCAGTGGTACCTTCTTTTATCTAGCTGTGCAGAGAGCCCAGTGCTGGGGATTTTTAATAACTATCTAAAAACCTTTCAAGAGCATTCCTTATTTCATCATTTGTCAACATAATTTTCTTTATATTGCATTTTCATTGAAAAAAAGGTTAATTTCAGCTGAATTCCTTTAACTTACAGTAAAACTAAAACCAGTCCCTCATTGGTTGCCCTGATGTGATTTCATTGAAAAAAAACGGATTTTTCAATTTCAGCGAATTTCACATTTTCTCCCTAACTGCGTATTAACAGCGGTGCCCCGCCGTTTTCACTACATTGAATTCTGCTGGCCACTTCAACACTCATGCCTGCTGCATTTTCAAAGGTATATTATGTAAATTTGTCGTGAACAGCGCCATCGAATGCACGTTAAGACCATAAGGCGTGATGAATGTTTACTTTTAGCAGTGACAGAAACGCTGTAAAAGTTGATGACAGAATGGAGGGAGATAAGCAAAAGGAAATCCAGGAAGGAAAAGTACCATACACATTCCAGCAGGACAGGGATCCCAAACCTAAATTCAGAGTAATAATGGACAGTAAGCATAAACAAGTAAAACAGCGATGTAATCAAACTCCAGATCTGCTGTTAGTCCAATTAGAAATCTGTACTATGATTTCGCAGACATCCATTCGGTTTAAAAGAGATTGAGTCATTTTACAAAGAACAATGGGAAAAAATGGTGCAATCTAGATGTGCCGAGATACTTAAGGCAATAGCCACAATAGTTGAAACCGTAATTGCTGTAAAAGGTTGTAGGTAACTTAAAGTATTGACTTAAGTACTGTAGATAAAATGAATTCTATGTCCCTTTTCAACATTGAATTTGTCAAAAAATGATAAAAATCATGCACCAATTTCACTTCCCCTCATAAATATGTGCAACCCGATGTTGTTCTACCACATAAATTCATAAACTCATTCTTTATTTGGTCTGCAATACAACTACACACCTGTGTCTGAGTCAATGATGAACAATTCTGATCCAGCTCCCTGGAGCTCGTAAGAGATTTGGGCGTTTGAGCGGATGTCAGCATCTGTGGCCGAGACCTGCAAGATGAGCCTGCCAGCCGGGGAGTCCTCTGGGACGCTCTCACTGTAGATGGACTGGATGACACAAAGAGGAGCAGATGTGGAATATTAAAGAGGCTGAGAAAGTGAGGTTCAAAGCAGGAAATAACAAGCACAACAAGGGGAAACAACATGAACACATTTTACCTTCTCGCATACAGGGTCGTTATCATTGGCGTCCAACACCTTGACTTCAACGATGGCCTTAGCGGTAAAGATTCCATCACTGGCAGTGATGTTAAGGAGATAGTTGTCTGTCACTTCTCGGTCCAAGGGCTTCCTGACAGAGACCTTCCACTCATTCTGAATGTGTTCAATGGCAAACTGGCCGAGTGGGTCCCCTCCTGTAATAAATGACACATATCCCAATGCAACATGATCAACATTACAGAAGAAAGTAGCAGGTTGCTCAGTGGCAAGACAAACTTTTATCTGTTATTTCTGGAGCAAAAACACAAGACCAGGAAACAGACTATGCACTGCATACTACTAAAGATGTTATTTTAATATTATTATATTTTTTATATTTTCGAAACCTTAAATAGCTATCCACATGTTCTAAATATAATATAATCATGTTTCTTTAAGAGGTCAATAAAAAATGTGAAATACTTTTTAATCACTTGTATTTTTGTTATTTTTTAAGATAAACAAAACAAAAAACATAAACTATAGTTCAGAATCTAGTGCACCATATGGTCAAGTACAGCTGACAATGTTGAAGCCTTTACTAGAATTTTTCTTGCCGTCCTTTTGAAAGAAGGGATAAGAAGTGTGATATCAATCAAAATCAGATAAACAGATCAGATTCTTCTTATTTTATGCCACCATTTTTTCATTAAGATTTTAAATGCAGCCATAATGAATGTTGATATTTCTAAAATTTTCAGTGTGAGACTGTGGTACTAATTCAAAAAATATAAGTTTTCTTAAAGGTATTTTTAAATATCTCTACCACAGGTGCTCTGTATTGCACTACAAGTCTTAAAGCATAATTCATTCAATTTATTTACTTTGCAGGAGAAACAATTTAACACTAAGAAGAAAATTCTCACCTGTGATAAAGTAGTTGACTTGTTTGTTGATGTCTTCAGAATCCTCATCGGTTGTGCTGAGGATGGCGATCACCCCACTGGGTGGGGGATCATCCTCACTGACTGTTCCCTTATAGATCTCGGCAGTGAATCGGGGCGAGTTGTCGTTAACGTCAGCCACCATTACCTCCACATTGGTACCAGCAACATGCTGGACTGTGTCGCCTTGGTCAGTTGCGAGGACAGAGATAATATATTTGTCTGTTTTTTCACGGTCAAGCTCCTTCAAAGTTGTCAACCAGCCTGTTTCACTGTCAACAGCGAACAGCTCAAAGATCTCCTGCGACATCTGTTTGGGGTCTAGACTATAGACAATGTGACCATTTGTTCCAGAGTCAAGGTCAGTGGCTTTGACTTGAATAACTTGGGTCCCACTTGGCAGGTTTTCAGCAGTGACAGCCTCATAAGGTTCAGCTTCAAAGATTGGTTTGTTATCATTGATATCTTTGACTTGGATATTTACATTTACTGAAGCAGCTATTTCATAATTATTATGTTTAGTTTGAGCAAGCAGGGTTAGTTGATACCATTTGGCCATCTCATGGTCAAGTCTCTTCTCAAGCTTTAAGGCTCCAGTATCTCTGTCTACAACAAATACTTCATCCTCATTGCTCTCCGGGGTGTTGCCTCTCACAAGGCTGTAAACTACTGGCTGTTCACTCTCTGCTTGAATTATATCTATCTCTGTTCCAATAGGAAGATCTTCGGAAACAGCATACCTATAATATGGTTCTGCAAACTTGGGAATTGGGGTGTCTGATGAAACAATCCTGATGTAAACCTGGACAACTGAATGCTTGGATGGGTTCCCAGTGTCCTTTGCCCTTACGAAGAATGCATAGAGTTCATTTTCCAGTCCGATGAGGCTTTCTTTGGTAATTATGACCCCAGAGGTTTTGTGTATTTCAAAGTTCTCCCTTACATTTTCAACATCTGCTTCAATTGAGTACTCTATATCAGCGTTGCTTCCCTCATCCATGTCTGAAGCCGCAATTTTGAGCACAGATGTTCCTCTTGAGACATCTGATGTAATGGTGGCCTTGTACACAACTGCCCTGAACTGTGGGGAGTTGTCATTCTCATCTGTAACAATTACATTGACAACACAAAAGCCGACTTTTCCGCCACCATCTTTTGCTATCAGAGATATAGGAATTACTTTCTCAAATGTGTTTTCACGATCAAGGCTTTCAAGAGTAAAAATTTCTCCTTTTTTATTAACAGAAAATTTGTCCTTTGCTAAATCGTTGACAATTTGGTATGTAATCTCGCCATAGATCCCTTCATCTTCATCTGTTGCTTCTACTTCTGCTACTAACGTACCAACAGGTGAGTTCTCAACAACCTCTACCAAATACTCCGTCTGGGAGAAGGTAGGGCTGTGGAAGTTGGCCCCAATGACTGTTACCATGACCTCAGCTGTATTTTTAAATACACCATCTGACACTGATACACTAAGATTGTAAAGGGGTTGCATATGGGGCCGTCGATGGTTTGAAATTACAATGGCACCAGTTTTTTTGTTGATAGCAAAGTTCTGTTCTTCATTTCCATATACAATTGAGAACTCCAGCTTGGTTCCATCTGAGCTGTCAGCGTCAGAAGCTTTGACTTGGCTGACAAAGTATCCACGTGGCGCTAATTCACTGATGGTGGTTTTGTAAGTATGCTCAGTAAAAACAGGTGCATTGTCATTCAGGTCCGTAACATCCACTGTCACAATAATGTCACTCGTCAGAGCTGGGACACCGCCATCCACAGCTCGGACTCTTAAATTGTGGTGCTGGATTTCTTCATAATCAAGAACTTGAGCTAAGGAGATTATCCCTGTGTCACGGTCAATGGTAAAATAGTCTGAGCTCTTCCCTCTTTCCTCAACTAGCTGATAAAATATTGCTTTGTTGTTGCCTGTGTCAGAATCTCTGGCGACCACCTGCAAAACTGATGTGCCAATAACAGAGGCCTCAGAAATATTAGCATAGTAGGAATTTGACAGGAACACAGGTGCATTATCATTTACATCATCTAGTATGATATCAACAAACACCTCAGAGTGAGCTCCAGTCAGAGAGTCTGTGGCCCTTATGTTTAATTTGTAAGCTGGATGTGTTTCAAAGTCCAAAGGCTGAATCACGTGAATTACCCCTGTATTAAAATCAATCGAGAACTGTTTGAAAGGGTCTCCTTCAGAAATGGTGTACACAATGCGAGGCCCTTCAGAGTCATTGGCTTGCACATGCAACACAGGGGAGTGCAGCTGAATGTTTTCAGGGATTTCAATGCTGTAAAAAGGCCTCTCAAACACAGGCATTGCTTTGTTCACAACTGTTATTGGCACTTCCACTTCAGCTGAGAGAGGTGGTTTCCCATTATCCTTTGCCACAACTACTAGAACAAACTTAGAGTCCAGTGAGTCTGTTTCAAACTTTGTTTTGAGCAGGATTTGACCAGATGGGGAGATTTCAAAATGGTCGTTAGGTTCCTTTAGGTTGTAACGGATGTCTGCATTTGGGCCTATGTCTTTGTCAACTGCTGTTACCTGTCGGATGACATGACCTTCCTCAGCATCCATTTGGACCAGGGCATGATAGGGGAGGTTGACAAACAGGGGCTTGTTGTCATTTACATCTTCCACAGTAACGACAACTAACACATGAGATGGTTCCTCAGATTTTTTCTCTTCAGTGACCTCAACAATAATATCATATGTGTCCTGTTCTTCCCGATCAAAAGGAATCCCAGTGGTTGAGACAACTCCAGAGGTGCTGCTGACTTTAAACCTGTTGTCAGGGTTTAATATTCTATAAAACAAGGGCTCATTCACTTGATTCCCAACAGCAGCAACAACTGCTAGTGTTTTCTTCTCTGCAGAGTTCTCTTGAATGTAGGCTTGGTATGATTCCTGAGTGAACTTCCTCTTATTCTCCTTGGTTTCCTTTACAGTTACCTTCACTGTAGCGGCACTGGCAAATCTACCATCAGAAACTCTGACCTTTAATTCATATCTGCTCCTGAGCTGCGTGACATTCTGAATGGAGATGATGCCTGTGACTGGATCAATTTTAAACTTGTCTCCGATATTTCCATCAGAAATGGAGAAAATCAGTTTGGAGTTGGGCCCCGAGTCTAAGTCTGTGGCATTTACTTGAATTACCTCTAACCCTTTGTAGGTTGGCACGATGACAGCTGCCTCATATAATTCTTGGCTAAAAACGGGAGAGCAATCGTTAACATCAATTACTTCGATGGTCACATTGGCCGGTGTCTCTGCAAACAGGCGAGGCATTCCGAGATCATGAACTTGAACTGTGAAGCGGAAAATGCTCCTCTGTTCATAATCCAAAGCTGTTGTGGTTCTGATTGCTCCGGTGCTCGAGTCAATGGCGAAATAGTTATGAGCAAAAGGCTCAACAATTTGATAAATGAGTCTTGAATTCTGGTCACAATCAGCATCAGAGGCATGAATGACAAAAGGGGTGTTTTCATGCGTCAGAACAACACTGTTGATGGAGGCCAGCTCACTGATTATTCCCTTGAATTCTCTCTGAATGAAGACTGGAACATTGTCATTTTCATCTTTTAGATGGATCAGAAGTGTTGTGTTAGTGGCAAGTCCAGCCATGTTGGTGCCCTGTATGATAAGCTTGTATTCAGACTTGGTCTCATAATCTAATGGTTGCTGAGTTACAACCACTCCTGAATTTGGGTTGATGTCAAATACATTGTTTAGGTTTCCTCCTCTTATCTGGAAGAAAACAGAAGACTGGCTAACAGCTGTGATCATGCTCACAAAACTTCCTGGGGGGGCTAACTCGCTGACTTCAGCAGAGAACTCCTTTTCAGAGAATCTAGGGGCTGCATTGTCAGAAATTGTAACTTCGATGTTTACGGTGATGGTAGAGGACAATGGTGGTGCTCCGTTATCAGAGGCCTTAACAATGAGTTCAAATGATGATTTGCTGCTACAATCAAGCTCTTTTGCAACTGTGATTGTTCCAAGAACTGGATCAATAGCAAAAGAGTTCCCAACGTTTCCTGTAAGAAAGAAAATAAATTACAAATTTTTAGAATGTGAGAAAGTTAATGCTCCCTCACAGATCTGAAATGTCTCAGACTATTGGTCACTGTTAAATGATGTAGATCATCACACAGATACTAAAACTATTACATGTTAAATCAAGTAGGAGATTTAGCTTTTTCTGTTGTCGCTACCAAACTTTAGAACAACTTGTCTTAATTTATAAAACATATATGTTTTCTTCCTGTTTTATGATCTCTTTTAAAAGCACATAATTTATCCATAGTGTTTGTACAAGTGTGAGCTAACATGCTCTTTTTATTGTTTCTGTTCCATATTATGAGCCTATGAAATGTCTGTTGGATGTCTTCATTTGATATATATCTCAAATTACAATATTTAGTAAAGCATATTGGTATTTTCATGTTTTTGAATGTGCTTTACAAATAAGTAAAAGTTTGACTTGGGTTCATTGAGTGAAATACAAGGTTTTTAAAACAAGCTTGCCTATGTGAAATAGTATTGCCCGCCTATATCAAACAACTGGTTGCATCTCCAAAACTGACATCAAGCATTCGGACATTGCTGTGGATATTTGCAGAATTATGCACACTCAGTAGATTTGGAGGGTTCTTAAAATTGATCAGACCGTTAAATGTCATACTATGGATTGTCAGTTGGCCTTTAAACACTGCATTATATGATCAAACCATAACTGCTATTTTAGCAGAAAATAGCCCATTCAATTAAACACTTAAGGACCAAAGCTTCCTGCTCTGCCTTGTCTTGTAGACAGCTTTTCGTTTGCATCTCCATTTCAGCCTTTACACAGGTAAACAAAAAGATATTTATACTCATCCTCCCTCTCCACTTCTTTTCTCATAACGGTAATAGTGTTTAACCTTTTCCTGCTTCTTCTGAAATGTACAAACATCCTCCTTGTTTAATTCACTTTCAGAATGAGATCATTGTTTCCACACAGCACCGCAAAGCTGTACACCCCAAAACAATAGTCTACTGCTTGTTTTAGACCGTTTCTATTGACATTAGTTATTAATTTATAGGTCTAGTACCACCATTGCATGGGGGTGGCAAGCGAAACTAAACCACAAGTGTTGGCTTATAAAAATGTATTCATTATTCAATAAGAGGGCAATCGCCTTTTCAACAGCACTAGGTCGATGCTAGGTAGAAGTGCTAAGCATCTTTGGGAACTCCTGCAAGACTGTTGGAAGACCATTTCAGGTGACTACCTCTTGAAGCCTATCAAGATAATGCCAAGAGTGTGCGCAGCAGTAATCAAAGAAAAAGGTGTCTAATTTGAAGAACCTAGAGTATATAGTTCTACTTTTGTTAATTCATAGCTTTGGTGCCTTCAGTGTGAATATATATTATATACAGTGTGTATATATCTATATCTATATAGATATATACATATTTAAATGAATATTTAAGGGAAAAACAGTTTTTCAGAGTACTGTAAGCTGTGACAAGGAAGCCATCATTATACAGTTATTTCAGCTATTTCAAGTATGCATATCTGCCAACAAGACAGAATGCTGCATGTTTCTGAGACACAAATCGTGGGAAACTGAAATTCTGGAGATTCTCTAAACAAAATCTTCAATGCTCTGTGTCCCATACATTATCAGGATTCGGTTGCCATCACAACTAATGACTCATGCAAGTTTAATGAGGTGATCTCCATTTTTCATTTTTAAAATGAAAGCCTTACACTGTGTAAAAAAATAAGTGAGGCTTATTAGAATTGCACAACAACATACCAGACTCAATGCTGTAGATGACTTCAGCGTTATAGCCCTTGTCTTTGTCAAGAGCGGTGACCTGCAACACAGCTGAGCCGATGGCTGCTGATTCAAACACACGGCCAGAGTAAGGTGTGCCTATAAACCACGGTGCATTGTCATTGGTATCATCCACGTCAACAATGACACGGACAAGATTCCTTTTGACTGGAATGTCCTGATCCCGAACCTGAAAACAGAAAAAAAGACAATATAAAAAACTATGTAAAAGTAAAAGAAAGGAGTGAAAGAAAATTAAAAAATAATAGATTCTTAGAGAGAGAACTCCCTCAACAAACTATTCATAATTGGGAATAATTGGGAATCCATAAAAACAATCCGGTACACATAAATTCTTTGTTTTGCTTTTTTGGCATAACAAAACAGCCTCAACTTAAGTCTGATAAACAAAATGTAACATTAGGTGCAGTTTTTAGTGGGCCAAATCATTCATACCATCACAGTGAGGGTGTGACGATGCATAGTCTCGTGATCCAGCCGTTCCGTGGTGTACAGAGTGCCCGTCCCTGGGTCCAAACGGAACTTCCGCAGGCTGAAGGGATCAGTGCTGCTCAGGAGTGTGTAGGTCAGTTTGTTTTTCTCATCTCTGTCCACAGCATTGATCTTCAGGACCTCAGTTCCTGCTGGCTCATCTTCAGGGACGTTCACTACGTACACCTGCTGAGAAAATTCTGGTCGATGGTTGTTTGTGTCGATGACCCGGATGAGCACCTAAAGGAGAAAAGCAAGTAGATAGTAACCAATTGGCTGAGTCCTCACACGCAGTAAAAGCCTTAAAATAACAGTTTGTGGTCTTATACTTTGTCTGAGCATTGCTACATGGAGAACGGTATTCAAAGTGCTCTTGTTAGATACAATGTTATACAATGTTTTTACAAAGGGACATGTTAAGTTTTTCAGCTTATTGTAACTAAAACTAAGCTTACCTAAAAACATTTATACATACATGGCCTTGAAAGTGTATGTATAAACAATTAAAGGGTGACCCTCACTTGTATTCAGCTGTCTTTCGTCTGATACCCCTACAGGGCAACCTATTGATAGCTGGTATCAACTAACAAAAAAATAAAGTCCCCTAAATAGAACACAATCAAACTTTCTGATTACTTGCAAAACACTATGTTAGGTGGAAAACAAACACAGCTGTGAAATATCATGGTGACAGCATCGTGCTGGGGATTTTCTATTCTCAGTGAGCACTGGGAAGCTGAAAAGAGCTGATGGAGAGATTGATGGCTCTAAATAGAAGCCCGTGCTGGGAAAATGTAACGGCAAACTAAAAGTTATGATGCTGAGAGGAGATTAGCAATAATGCACTAGTTTCTATCAGTACATGATATAAAGTAACCCAAAAGCAATGAAGCCAGTGTTAGTAACATAAAAACTTTCAGAAAGTCCAAAAGATATAAATGCGTTTGGTAGTCCCTGTATACTTTACTAGTTATTAACAGAACTGAATTTATCTGCTTTTTATTTCAGGTTTTCTGCATATCCACCTGATTCTTTATCTTTTTACATCAACACATTCCAACCTTTTCATTTTGATGGCCTGGACACCTAGATCTAAACTTAAAAAAAGCTTTCAGCAAAAAAAAACCTTTAAAACCATAAAAAACATCAAAGCACCAATAGACATCTTAAGGGATTGAGGGCTCTGTGCAGAGTGTTTTTGAGGAGGGAACATATGAGTCAACAACAACAACATAGAGTAGGTGAAGAGTAAACTAAAACTACCACAAAAGTTTATTTCATTACAATATCCATCATGACAGTCAATAAATATCCCATTGCATAGTAGTAGTCCACAAACATACCTTTTTATATATATTATCATGATAAAGTTAGGAAAATACAACATCCTGTTTGATTTGGGGGATATCAACATTTCATTTCAATAATAAAGGGGTAAAAAAAGGCAGAAACCTCACAAACATCTCAAAGCTGAAACTGAGGGGTAAAGCAGTCTTTTCTTGCACTGATGGGCATCTTCATGTCCAGGACTCTGAGATTTCAGTTTCAATAAGACAATGAGGGGGAATATTGGCCTAGTAGTTAAAACATGGCACTGAGAAGGTTGCAAGTACCCGGTTTGATCCCCACAGCCTGCACTCTGGGTCCCTTAATCGCACACTGCTCCCCGGGCGACGCACAATGGCAGCCCACTGTTCCCCAAGGGGATGGGTTAAGATGCAGAGGTAAATTTCTCCAGTATGAGATCAATGAAGTTCAATTATTATTATATGATAAGATAAGAGCTATCACAGAGTAGGGTGTTCTAACTGAGCCTGGAAGCTAAATTATGCTGTAGTAATTATTGAAATAAGATTATTTTATTATAACTCATTGCAATACAAGGCAATATTTTATAATAAAGAGTGTAATCTGACATGTAAGAATTTCCTTATATGAAAAAAACAATATCAAAAGATGCTTCCAAATTATTCACAACTGCAGAAACTTCTTGGTTTTTCACTGAAAAACAGGTTACTGTATGGCTGATTAATCTTTTCCCAATTCTAAACTAAAACTCCAATGCTTCCAAACTGTAAAATTCCTCTGGGAGGGTGTTTTATCAACACCAGCCACTCGTCTACTGGACTTCCGACAGAGGATTACGGAGAGCTGCCGGAATGCCATCTTTGCTTCCCAGAACAGCGAGGGGCTTCCACCCTTGCCAAACATGGGGAACAAAGGGATCATCCGAGATTAGGCACCTGCATACCAAACACCAGGGGGTGATGTCCTTTAGGAAAACAGTTGAAGCCAAGCCGCTCTGTGTCGGGTCGGTGAAGGGGGGGGATGACGACACAAAAGCCTTGAACAGGTGGCAGCTCACTAGCTAACTGAGGTTTGTCAGATCTTTGGTCAAAACAATTGCCGCTTGGTTTGTGCTGGTAAGAGTGTTTGTTAGCCATTGTGAGGTGATGAAAGAGACAAATATAGCCTCAACCTGACAGCACTGATAACATTTACAATCTGCTGTATGCTGTGATGTTGGCATTACTGCTGAGACTCACAGATGTCATCTTGCAGGGGGAGTGCTGGGATGCATGCTGTCTTTCAGAGCCGTGTTCTGGCCCTTTGCCACAACTTTTTTGTTCGGAGCGAGCCATATCACACTGCTAATCAGCACGTGAAAATAAAACAAGTACATTTTTCAGAATCAATATTAACTCTGAGACAGCAAACAACTCCAAGCATCAGTGTAACAATCTGGCCTCATGCCAGGCTTTTCTTCTAATGTTGCGCCAAGTAATGTATGGCTCCAGATCCCTGATGTCTCCAATTCCACCTTTTATACACACTGAGCATGCACCCAACCTCCCACTCACACCGGAACAGGGGCATAAATTCAGAATTTTCACATGCACCTCTACACAAAAGCTGTGCAATGCTACTCAATGTGGCCTGCAAGAGATAACACATTTTTTGAACAGTTAGAAAAGGTGGAAAGAACTGATAGTGCTGCAAAGAAACCAAAAGGAATGGGACCTGGTCAGCTGTATCTACATCGTTCTCTTCCCATACATTTTACAAAGTGTCACATAAAAACTATTTTCCCCCACATCACACACGCAAACACAAGCTCGCCTTTTCCTTTGCAAGGAAGACTGAAACAACACTTCAAAAGGACTTTGTCCCCAAACCTCACAAAGCAGTATGATGCAGCCTGACTGCAGCAGAAACACTGTAGAGAAAAGCTCTGTAGTCTTTGTGCACTGCTTCCTGAGGGAACGCTGAAGAGAGACAAGATTGGGTCTGAGAAACAAGCATGACAGATGGAGATAGTGAAGATTTAAAAAAAATAGATGACAGTAAGAAAGAAAGCAACAACACAACACTAAGAACGCTCAAGGGAACGTTCAAGTTTGGGTTGAAATGAAAATTAAATTCACATACAAAATACAAATTTAGTTTCCTCCTGTTGACACTCAATTGTCAATTTCATGTCCTTTGTGTTTATAGGATTCTCTATCAGGAGCAGCACTTTATGCATATAATTCTTTATTAAAAGTGTTCAGATTTTCCTTTTGATGTGCCTTATAATTTATATGTGTACTGAAGGACTTCTATCAAGGATGCTCATTCCACTACAAAGTGATTTTAATTTAGTTTTTCTGTTTTTTTTTATAATATGCATTCTAAGCCAAGTGTCTCAACCACAAATTATTAATAGGTCATTAATGACAAAAAAAGATTGTTGATACTGGATTCTTTCTTAGACAACTTTTTCTGTTTTTCTTTAATATCCTATTCATGTGCAACACTTTAATTTGCTTTGTTATACAAATGTGCCATACAAATAAACTAGCCTTACCGATAAAAAAGGGTTAAGTTAATCAAGTAGGAAAATGCTTTCCTCTTCCATGGTTTATACTTTTTTTTCCAACATGAATGCTGCCAACATTTTAGAATTACACAGTTTGTTTCAAGCACTCATTAACATCTCGGATGAATTACCAAGAGACAAGAGTGTTCTTAAATTCTTCGTGTGTGCTGAACTGTTAGGTCTCCAATCTTCTGCTAACATGGGACATTTTCATGACCTTTTCCTCTTCAGCAGATAGATTGACATAAATATTAACTGTATGAAATTAAATAGTCTTTGATTTTTAAAAATGTTGTCTTAAAGTTATGTTTTAGGAATCTTTATATAATTTTGAGTTATGAACTAATGCTTAAATTCAGTATAACATCATCAGCTTTTTGCATTTCCCTACAATCTTGTCTCCCTTGTGCCATGCTTTTTAAGCATTTATTGATTTCAGATGTAAAATGTATATAACAGCAGACAAATATGTCAGTATAGCAAACATTCAATTAAGATATAAAGAAATGCTTTATTACGTTGACTAAAATAACGAGAGGAATATGAGATCCGGAACAGATTGTGAGCAGGACAGCTTGAGGAACTTCTCAACAGCCAAGGGAGGATGTCGTATAGCTGGAGACGTGGGAGAGGAGCGGAGGGGAGGCTGAATGCCAAGACTGCTTGGTTGGCATGGCTCCAGGCTATGAGCTTCCAAAGGTGGAATGTGGCACCCCTAGTCTTCATCAGCTGATCATTGATACAAGCCTTCATAGTGAACATGATGGCGGATTGAAAGCACACAGCAGAGTGGCTGATTTCTGTAGACCTCCCACAGGCCAGAATTCCTTTTAATATTAATTACAATGGATTCATGGAGCCTTGGATGACATGATCCACATTTTTCTATTCTAAAATTGTACAGAATTTAAAAAAGGTAAGCACTGACCCTTGTAAAGCATCAAAAATATTTTTTGTGAGCTGTTCAGAACAAGGCATGAGGAAGCATTAATTTTTCTCATGCAGGAAAAAAAAACACATGGCAGATGCTAGTTTCTGTATAAAGGTAAGCCACTGTCACTGTTTCCAAAACACAAGGTCAGGCACTCTTGTTTGCACTTTATACTGCCCAAACAGAATTATCATCAGTTCTTTACATGTGGCCTTTATAAGCAGCAAAGCTTGGAGCTTCGTACAGAAGAAAACCAGAAATACCAAGAGTGCTTGAGAGCAAAAGAGAACAAAAAGAGAAACATGGAAACATTCTTAAAAGAGAGAAAATAGGGCAGCATGTCTAGCAGCACAGCCTCCACATGACTTTGATTTGAGGAATATATAACTATCTTTCAGCTTTCACGAGGAGCACTGTGTATGACAGTGTATCTAATTTGCAGGAAAAATCTCTGTTTCTGACAAAGCTAAATTCATCGTGTGCCCAAACAAATTAAATCCAACTGCCACAGACTGTTTTACATTTACTGCCATATTTGTATCCTTTTGTCCAACAAGACTTTCTTTTTAAAGTGATCTATCAGTTAATCCATAATTTTATCCTGTTTTACCGCTAAATAACTGAAGGTGATGAATTAACAGCAAGAAAGAACCTCTAAATAGCCTAAAATGTAGCCTTTCAGAAAGTACGTTTTTGTGGCACCTAACAGCCAAATAGCATCTTTAAATGTCACTAACCACTTTCCTAGCCACTTTTTCAGCCATCATTTCAGTCACTTATTCATGGTTTCTTTAGCTTTCTTTAGCACCTTCCAAAAATCTAAAAAAACTGACTTCCCCTGATGGTAACGAGGCCAATTGGGATTTAAAAACCTATGTCTATTTAGTGAAGAGACTATAGCTAACCTTTAGAAGGTCACATTGACAACAACAATCTTCAGAGTAGAAGTTGCTGAGTGAAGATCCAGTTTGCTGTTCTTAGTATTCGGGGCGAAAAGGCCCACAAAGAGTAAAAGGCTTTAAGAAAGAAAATTATATTATAGTTTTATGTATTACTCTACAGCAGGAAAGTGTTATCAATTTTCAATGCAAAAAATATATCTAGTGTTCTTTTATTATTTCTGATGTGAGAAAAAACTTCTAAAGATTCTGGTTATTTATTATTTTAATATTTACCTCTGTCATATAACAAGGAATCACTTCTTTATTTTTCATATCAGATCGCAGCAGAACACTCTAGAGAGGAAAATTGTTTCAAACAAGACAAATCCGACAGAACAAGACTGAGGAAGCCTCGCCATCTGCCCTGACCTTTAAACGTGTATAATTTCACCTAAAATGTCACAGAATGGTGTATTGCTAAAAGGCATTTCAACAACTTTTTGTTGCCAGGGCTTTTAAGAGAGTGCACAACATAAGAAAACATTAGAAAGCTGAGAAAACAGGAACTGTCTTCCTCTTTTTTAAGATTTTGCTGTAAACTAAAGGACATGCTGCTTCGGCAGATGAGCTCCAAAATGCCAGAGAAGGCAAGCTTCATTCAAGGCTCAGCGGAGCACAGCAGACATATGATGAAAGGCTTTATTCATACAGACTGACAACAAATACATTTTTCCCCAGCAACAGTTCAACGGAAACTCGACTTTTGGGACAAAGGATTTTCAATGTCACAATCCAGTATGGTCCAAACTACCATCTAAAAAAAAAAAAGAAAATCTCAAGGACAAAGCATGACCATTAGAACAAAATGCAGATGCAGCTTGTATCCTATAAAGTTTTTATCAGCATACTTAAGATTTTCTATCAGCTGGAGTTCAGGACAGCCATTTCCACTTTAATTATTTAATCTATTCAAAACAGGCAGATTCAATTGATGCCTCTCCAAGAGAAAATGAAATGAAGATATTCTCACTGATTGAATGAGAACAACAGCAAACGAGAAACCGAGGGACTCAAGAATGCTCACTTGAAACAAAAAGCTCTGGTTAGACAGCAAAATCATTACAGCAACAGAAATGAGGCAAGCAGGAACTGACACCAGTGCACGGCTATCAAATTAAGTATCCTTGCAAACTATATGGCGGACCAAAATTCTACTTCTGAAAGAGAACATCTATGTTTCTTTATAAAGAAATACAAATGATCTTTTTGATAGGTCGGATTTTTCATACACCAAATCAATGGGTTAAGACCAACGTTGGCCTTGATTAAATGATGGCTAATAAGGCTCATTGACAAGCTCATCTTCACGATTTTTATTAGGAGCATAAGCACATGCTTGTGATGAATATATGACATTTAATGGACCCCTACATTTTATACATTTGTTGCTTAACAATGGTGGAATGATCTAATGGATGCTGCCAGGACAGGATAGCCCGCTGTCTAACTCCAAAAAGCTAATGAAGCTTGGGCAATTCAGGGGAGCCTCTCCTGCATGCACGCTGCTCTATCTATACTTAAGTTTATACCTGCACTCTATTTCTACACCATCATTTCTGACAAAATCTCACTAGAGGTCTCTTCCTTCAAGGAAGCTTATTGCTAGCTTTGATATTAAGTGTAACTACAAGTTCTTCTAAGTTGCTTTGGACAAAGCGGTCTTCTACAGTCATAAAGACAAAGTAAGATTGACTCTAACGGCAGATTTGCTTAAGGAGGGGAAACATTAGTTTGCCTTATCGATAAAAGGTTGACAGCTAGCTTGCCTAAAGAATGAGAATTAAGATGCTTTTCTTTTGAGTGTTGCTGTAACTCAGATGTTTTTATATTGGTCTATATGTAGAAATAAGCACTTTTCAGATGATATAAAGGTCTGTCATTCATATAAGCTATGTGTACTCTACATGTTAATGAGGGTTATGCATAGGGATTAGGGATGCATACAAATAGTGGATTTAAGATTAATTGATGATTCATGTTTTTATTTTAGATTAAAATGTGCTCTATTCACTATAGATCCAGAATCTGGTCTTCAATTATTTACACTTTATAATGATGACGAGGATGCAGACTTACTTTATGCAGTTGTGTTTGTAAATATGATCAATAGATAAACTCCTCAAATGATCAACTAAATAGTGCCCCTTTAGCCATGCTGCATGGTGTAACAGCATCTTCTCTCATGTGCTAGTAAGGGTGTGATGGTAGAAAATTGGTGTGCTTTCACAAAACATTTTTAATCCACTTCATTGAAATGAAGTGGAAAATAGTTTAAAGCTTAGTTTATGCTCGACGCATCCACAAGGTCAAATTAGGTCATTTTGGGCTTCCACGCCCCTCTGTGCGGAGAAGTCTGAAATTTGTATCTATGCGGAGGGATCCGCACGGAAAACGTGGTGAGCGAGCAGCAGCTACTGCTGGCAAGGGTTCACAAATGAAAATATCAATAGACATCCCGTGATTTAGCTCATAAATATCACCACTATCAACAGACTGTGGAAAAACTCCAGGAAATAAATTACTGTCCCTCTCGAATGGCATGAAGAGGCTTTGATAAAGTTGTAAATGTCTGTGTTTTATACTTCTTTATGTGGTGTGATGTTGTCAGCTTGCAGCCTGTGCAGATCATGCCCCCCCCAAGAGCCGGCCAGACTGGGGGAAAGCCGCACAGAGATAAATGCTGCAGACACTGTGACAGACGGTTCATTTTCCATGCAGAATGTCCCTACGTTAATCATAATGACCCTTCACAGCCACTCAAAAGAACATATCTTGTCTTTTAATGATAGTTTTACATATATGTGCATTGGATATTGTATATGTTTAAGATTCTTTGTGAATTTGCACATATCTGAATATGCAGTTAAAAAACAAGGCCAATAGGCTACAGTTTGAAATAGCTTTTAGAGATGTGAAGATCAGCCAACCTGTAAAGCCAAGAATCTAAAGAGCTCACTGGGATAAACACAAAAAAACCCCCAACAAAACCAGATTTAAGATTTAACAAAAACAGATATCTACGACAACAAAAACAGCAAACAAGAATTAAAGGTTTAAGGAGGAGAGCAATTTACAAATGCTAACCATTTTAACATAAGATGCGGAAATAGTAAAAAATAGGTATCTGCATCTTTTTTTAATAATTATTTAGACATCAGAATTTTAGTGAGAGAGATACAAATCTAAGAAAATGTTTTTTTCCCAATTCACCAGCTGAAAGTTGTGATAGCATCATAACATCGTTATAGTCCAACAGGTCATTTAATCTACTAATAACCCATCTCTCAACTCCCACTTTTCCTCACATGAGGAAAAACCGAACCATGACAACTGCTTCATCAGCCTCCGACTGTTTCATTAGTGTTTCAATTACCTGAGTGCTGACAGTTCGTGTCCCATCTGTGGCTTCCACTGTCAGGTTGTAATTTGATTTCTGCTCGGTGTCCAGAGGCTGAGCAACAATCAAGGTTCCGCTGGCCTTGCCCACGTCAAAGCGGCTGTCGTAATTACCACCTGTGAATTTTTTTTTTAAGCAAATAACGAAAAAAGAGAGATTAGAGATAAATCCTAATAAAGCTAAATGTAAGTCACAAAGTTAGACAACATGAAACAGGGGTAGAGTCAGAAAGGTAAACATTAGTTAAACACTTTTTAACAAATGTTGATGTTTTAAACTTATAGATATAATATAGATTTGATTTCATCTGTTTATTTTAACTAAATACAAATAGCATTGAAACAGAAATAATAAATGTTACATTTGTAACAACATTTTACACTAATAATTTAGCTTTTAATAAGACCTTAAACTGATGCTGAAATCACAAACAATCAGATACCACAACCCATCCACAACCAACAGGGAGCACCAGAGACAGACAAAGTCACATGATCTCCTAATACAGCCCAGCCTATTAGGAGATCCCAGCAGCTACCTTCTGCTGTACAGTTGTAGTCACAAGCCATCTGAAGGATGTAAAACATGTCAGAATCCTCACTGCCGTCTTGCAAAAATCCAACCAAAGAGAACATTTGGTTGAAAGTGGGAAAGCAGTAAAAGAGCACAAAAAGGAGAAGAGAAAAAGGAGACGTGTCAGTTAGACATTGATTAGAAGGAAAACAGGCAGAGGGAAGGGAGAGGAATGAGCATTTTATTATAAAAGAAGGCGTTTTGAATCTTTTCATGTTTATGCTGGAACTTGAGAGTTGAAAGTAGGCACTTGAGAGGAGAGGAATTATATTGGGATACTCAAAACACATAGCTACTTAGAGAAATGTACTTAACTGAAAAAAGGAGAAAAGTAAAAGGGTTAGGATTGTAAAGTAAACTGAGGATGAATTTAGTCGCACTATAAAAAAAAAAAAGTATCCAAGAAAAACTGTAGTTTCAGACTGATAATGTGGAAATATGTATTTGCAAAAAGAAATGCATTAAATGGTTATTTTTAGCTGAAAAACCTGTTTTCACATTTTGTTGACTAATAGTTTATAAACCAAAAATGGAGGTAAGGCTGGTAAAGATATTACCACAAATTCCAATTTGTCAGAAACTTAAATATTAACCTCATTTCTCGGTTTTCTATGTGTATTATTTTTAATTGCATTTTAAGTGTTTATGGGTTTCTTTTAATACTACAACAACAAGCTCTATGAGTAGCCCCTGTGCTACAGTATTAAGAGCTACTGATCATGCATTCGATTTCTAGCGCTCCAGCAAATTGGTTTTCCCTGGGGTATTTTCCCCCTAGAATGTGCTAGCAAGACCTCCAAAGAAGGTTTCCAAGACAAACTCTTATCAGGTGTTTGGGCAGCCTAAAACAACTACTTTCAATGAGGATGTTCTACTTTAAAGACAAGAAAATGGCAACCAAAATTCTAACATGGAAGGTCAGAAGTCTTCTGTTCAATATCCAGTATGGCTCTCGTATGCACAAAGCATTGTAATTTATTATTTACAGCTGAAGTGGACTTAGAGAGTCACATCAGTTGTTACACATCTTGATTTGGTCTACAGAATGTGCTCAACAAGGTGAAATTGATTGCTCTATTAATAACTCCAATGCTAATCTAGTTTGCTTCACCAGATCTATAGAAATAATTAAAAACGAATATAATATTAGATCTTAACTACAGCTTGTGGTACCATTACTTTAGCAATAATAATCTACCTAATCTACCTTTCTACCAGCTCTATGAGGATTTCAAAAACATCTTCATATCAAAAAGTCAAATTTTAACGTGTTCAATTTAAAATGAAAACATAAAAGTAGCAAAACACACAGGATAATTATTTTTACACAAGGCTACCATTAGCAGATGCAGGTATAGTTAGGAGTTATTTGCTACTCATTGTAGCTTGCCTACATCTAATGTTTTCATGGAATTCTGCACATGGATATAGTTAAACATTTTTTATTTTGTTAAAATAATATTTGAAAAATTTTAGGTTAAAAACATTGTATAATTATGTTAGCAGAGGCTAATATAAGTGGTTATATTATCTGTCCTTTTCGACTTAATCTACTACACTTCAATCTAGTTAAATTTATCACAAAGTACCAGAATTAATTGCATAGTTTTGCAGTGTTTTGAAGCTTAAAAGCAGAATGTATTAATATAAAACACACTCAAGCAGCACCACACGCACATTCGCTACATTAGTCTTCTAAAGTGGTGTCACAAGCCATAGGAAGAAGTGCATTCCTTAAGGTGCAAAACTACAGCAATAATGAACATAAAAGCTCCACTACCTGTGATTTCGAACCACACAGGAACATCAGACGACTCTGTGGCAACAACGCCCACCATGTGAGCCACTGGATCACTTTCCATGACAGAAAAGGTAAAGGGGGACTCCTCAAACCGCAAGGGAGCTGCATCAGCTGGCACCTCTGGTTTGGGAATCCACTCAATGTGCAGGCGACAAGTAGATGATTTCTGAGGGCGTCCATTGTCCACGGCTTTAATCTGAGCAAAGAACAGCAGAAAAATCTGTGTAAGTATTGGATTTTTGAATTACGTTTCCGAATGTCTCCCTTCTATAAAGTGGCTGACATTTTACATACAATTGCCTCTGTCTGCATTTCTATTGCTCATAAACAAAAATCTAATTATCAGTATTCTTTTCAAGCAGAGTACATTTTGTCACGAAAACATACTGTCAACTTTACAATAAGGCAGAGTTAAATTTCACACACACATAGCACATTCATTTCAAAGTAACCATTTACAAAAAGAAATCTCTGTATTACTTTGACATAGTGATGTGACAGACAACAGCCAACATGTGACATCACATCTACACCTAAGAAAAGTGGCTCATGTTAGGCCAAAAAAAAGGAATAAAATCTGTTTTATTCAGATACAAAAATACATTTTTTCCCATGTGTGTACTAAATACAACTCTACATTTTTAACAGAATAAGGTGGAGTAAAGAGACTATATACAGATCAGAAGAAAAAAATAAAGAACTTTGTAAATAATAAAAATATCATCTGCTTTAACATTTTATAGCTCAATGCTGGACAAACGCTTCTGATTAAATACTCACAGTAAGAATGTCATATTCCCCGGCAGAGGAGAACTTCTTGGATGACACCAGACCAGTCTTGGGCTCAATGAAAAACTTGCCATGTTCATCCCCTTCCTCGATACTGTAGGAAATTTCAGCATTTGGTCCTTTGTCACGGTCTGACGCTATCACCCGGTACACTGGGTCTCTCTTAGCCGTTCTCTCTCTCTCTGGCCTTTCCCGCTCAGGCAGTTGGATCTTGTAGATCTTCTCCAGGAACAGCGGCCTGTTATCATTCTCGTCGAGGACCTGTATAATGACCCGGACGGTGGTGGATTTGGGTGGAACCCCATGGTCGGTGATGGTTATCTGAGGAAACACAATAAAGGTTTTAAAATTAAAACGTTTATTGACTAAAAGGCTAAAACATGACCTTATTCAGCCCACTCTAAAACATTCCTTATCTTTTGCACTCTCAAAAAATATTTTCATACTTTAACAGCCATACTTTTGGGTGTGGACTCTGTATTAATTAGAGACATTTTAATGTTCTGTAATCTCAACCTTGAAGTTTATTCTAAAATATATCAACAATTATGTGATTTTAAAAATGTGAGGCTCCAAAAGCTAAAATACCTCGGATTTAAAGAATAAATAAAGTAATAATATAACCTAAATTATACAATGAATAACTTTTCAAATGAAGAGTTATGTGCTTAAACACAGCAGCTTTTATCACATTTATATTACCAAAATAAAAAAAATCCTTGAATAGTAATGAATCAATATAATTTCTTTGGTTTTATGAATATTGATAGTTAAAAGCAGATGATATCGCTGTAATATTAATCATTTTATAAATACAATTAAGCCCAATATTGTTCATACCCCTGAAAAATTTAGGTTAAAGTAATATTTTCAATTTACAAATGATTTTCTTCTGTCTAAATACAACAATATGGTTTTGAAGTTATTGAATTTGATGGAGAATCTGAGATGGAAGGGAAATGATGGCAAAGGGTCACCAAACTTCAGTGACTTTAAGCTTATCTCTAAGGACAAACCATAAAAAAACTGCAGTGAAAACATGTAGAACCTTGAGCAGCAAGAAGGGTCGGATTCCTCTAATTTCAATTCAAAATGTTTCATTGACGGTAGAAATATTTTTTTGCCTTACTTTTTAACAATATGACTTCTCTTGGCCTCAGAAGTGTTCAGGAAGAAAATAGCACCTTCACCGAAGTCATGTTTAGTTAGCGGCTCCATAGAGCATTTTTTTCATTTGAACAATGTTTTAACACATAACTGTGACTTTTGACGGGTGAGTTCAAATGAATGATGGATACTATAGAGAGGAGCCATATGCTGACCGCCCCAAAAAAAATAAATACGACAAAAAAAATGGAATTAGGCATCCAAGTGCCGGAGGAAGTACCATTTTTTCTGGCTCTGAGCTGAAAAAATACAATTTAAGTGTAGAACAAATGTCACAGTCATTTAAAACCATCTGCTAAGTACTTCACTGAAAACAGTCAGCAGTCTAGGGCCACGCACACACCATTTGGTACCATACTTTCAATTACTAAAGTAATGTGTTGCTGCTTTTCTCGCAGTGTCTGCAGCTGTCCACGCTGTTCACATGAGCGGAATCAATTAAATCGGCTGAAGAGAAACTTGAACGGGAATTTCTCTCAAAGGGATGATGCAGAGTGTTTGTGCTTTTCCTGTGCAGCGTTATGGAAAATTCTACCATAAACAAATTTGTTTTTTTAGCTCTCTGGATGTCTGATACCCTGCATGAGGTTAAAAAAATGTATTACAAATACTTGATATTTTTTGCTGTTGTGCTAATTTGGTGGTTATTTTTAACCTTCGGATCATTTAAAAGTTGATTAGAAAAACTGGAATGGGCAGAATGTAATATCTGTTAGATAGGCTGGGCTAAATTTTTAGAAACAAACTACAATCCTTGAGTTTAACCCTTTGTAGGACACTAAGTGAAATACTTTGAAAACCACAATTTCAGGCACATAGTGTTATTAGAATCCAGGACAAGACCTTATTACCTTTGTAACATTCAAAAAATATGGATATTTTGATGGCAAAAATTTATGTCAATGTAATAACAAGAAACACCTACTTGCCCGAATATATTAAGAAAAAAAAACAAAAGTGCTTCTATAAGATATTCATGAAAAACACTAAGAGAGTGAAAGAAACACATTTTTTTGGTACGGCATAACCTTAGAGGCATTAATGCTGATACTAGCACTTAGATTTTTTAGTTTAGAACCCTAAATGTAATTGCTAACTACGCTTATTAACTTTTTCACTTTACTTTTTAACTTTTCAATGATCTTTTTACCTTTTTTTTTCAAGGGTTCATCCAATTGATCAAATGCAAAAAAAAAGAAAGAAAAAAAAAAAAGATGTGCAGCCATGTAGCAGTATCTTTCCTGAATGGATGGTTATAAATCTTTTGCCTCTAGACCTCAGTAATGGACGGGGGTGCTCCGTTTGTGAAAAATATTTTGGGAAAACTTTTGTGTCTAAAATGTCTAACAAACATGATCTAACGACTATTTTCCGTCCAGATGACAGAAGTAAACACAGCTGAAGCTCTAAAGACCCATTCATTGAATCATAGTATTACTGAAAAGTTCATCCATCTTTATAATGATTGCTTCCAAAAAAAAGTCTTTTTTTCTAATTTTTTATAAAATAGTCTTATGCTGTTTTTATTTACTGCAGAATAATGCTATGGTAACAATAGAATATGTTTTGCTAAAAGCATTACAATATTATTTTAGAGCAATGAGAAACATTTTAAATATACAAATAATCAGCTTAATGAAAAGTATGTTTAATAACTACATAATCCTGGTTATGTTTAAAAGCTACTTTTAATTGGACAAACAAGCCTTATGAGAATAAATATGGTGAATTTTTGAATGTAATGCAATGCATATTATTGAAATGGTCCTTGGGCTAAAGTAGCCTTGAATGTTAATAAAAAAATAAAAAAAAAACCTACAATGTAAAAAAAAAAAAATAAAAAAAAAATACATTGTTAAACATTTCAAAATACCGCCTTTCTTTCTTAGGGGTTTAATCTAAGCAATTAACCAAGTCATCAAATCAGCTTACAGTATTAAGAACCCCCTTAATGATCTGCCTAGTTATCCCATGGTATAATTATCCAGGTCAAGAGAAAAGATGGCCATGCTTGTGCTTTTGTGTTTGAACAACAGCCTTTAAAATCCATCAGTGTAATTAGTTTACAATTGTTAAACTGTAGCGTGCCTGCTGATAAATTACAAAATAATAATCTTATATCTAGGGAAAAGTGCATGCTGGGAATGGATCCTGGCAACAATGTGAACAGCTCGTTTACCTCTGTTTTATGATTACACTGCCTTTCCTACAATCCCAGAGCCTGAGTACTCAGCATGTCCTGGCATGTCCCACTTTTGCTGTTTACCCACCCCCTCTTTCCATGGACCAAGGCCTCTGATCCTGCCGCTTGAGCACAGACTCGGAAACAACAGGAGCAGCTTTGCCTTTTTCTGAAATTGCCCCACTGCTTTTAGCTCCCTCTCCCTCGTTCCCTCACAGACACACGACGGCTACCAACCCCCATGTGCCTGATCATAAAAGCTGAAGGCCTCCTGTGCTCCCTCCACCTCATCCTGGCATTTAGTGCAAACAATGCTGAGACAGCCCCCAATCTAAATGCCCCACATGTTTAGTTTTGAGTCCCACAACTCACTTTAGAAGTCTTGTGAAACTGATTTACTCACTACAAGCTGGGCACAAAGACTCTAAGATTGTTCCTCAACTAGCAACAGAAATGGACTCTTCTAATTCTAATAAATGCAGGACAAACAGGCAGAACCGTCATTAGTTTATTTGGTTTTTTTTCAAGCGTTTTTATTGTCATTACACTGTCACAAGTATAGAGCAACAGAATTAACTCTGCACTTTACCATCCCCTTAGGGAGCAAAAGGCTCCCCAAAGCTTTATTTGTTGCAATTTTTCTTTAACTATCTCACTTAGAGAGGGGCCAAAAATAAAGATTTTCCCAAACATAAAAATCAAGGTTTGTTTTTTTCAACCGAAATTGTAATCTAAATGAATTTTGATTTTCCTCTGCACTAACCACAAGCATGTGGACAAACAACAACATGAACTAATTTTCATGACCTTGGAGGCTTGCTTGTCTAGTCTATTGTCACAGGACTTTGTTTTTGTCTGAAAATTTGCTTATTTCTACTCTCATGTTGAGGTCGTGCTAGACTATTTTACTGTCTGTCATTTTCACTGACCAAGTAAAATTAAAAAAATGCTGTCATACTCTATATTTACCTGTTACCTTTTTGTTTTTATGATAATAATTAAACGGCCTTAAGCAATTATTTTAAATTTTTATCTTCCAAGGAAACTGAACAGAGAATCGAGAACTTTTGTCTGCCGTGAATGTCTGACGCTGGGTGCATGAAAAGGCTTTTGCTTCGTACAGATGACTTCTCTTCACTGTTTCATTTTTGTTCTTGGGTTAAATCTGCAATCTGCACTCTCTTAATGAACTATTGCACTATATGAGGTCAGGATGTGAGTTGATATCTATCAAAATGACAGATGGCTTTCATTTTTTACTGTCATCTTTTATGTAAAAAAAGTCAAATGCAAATAATATTTTGTTAAAGAAACCCGTTCTCGCATGCATAGATCTGTGTGCAACTCTTTCATACCTCTTGTGTGGCAGTCAACCCTCTTTAAGCACACTTCCACCCCCGAAACAGCTGGAGTAGGAATGTTTTATTTACTCTGGTTAAATGTAAAGTGACCAGAGTGCCTCTGCAATTTTTAAGTTGCATTTTGTTAAATTGCAAATGCAGTTGATTGCCCAGCTTTAATAAGGTATGAAAACTTTCATAATATATTGGTGCACAAAATCCAACTTTATTATCAAAACTGAAATGCATTTACAGTGGACATTTGAAAATAGCCAACTTCTTGACAAAATGTTGGTAGGAAGTGTAGCAATGTATAAGGAATTTATTTAAAGAAAAGCAATAGAAAGGATAACACATCAATTAAAATTAAAAGCCTTCTAAAGAGTTATTCTTTAATAGTTCATAGTCCTGGACAATTCTCATTTGAATCAGAAGACCTAAATGTTGCGTCCCTGTTGATTTTTAGACTAGACACTGGTCTTGTTAAAGTGGTTGGTTTTACAGGATTGAAGCTCTGGTTAGAGTGTTAATATCAATAATAGAGGTTTAAATCTGATACAAAATCAATATGAGGCCCAAAACATTTTTAGAGGTTATTTTTCTAGGTTACTGACATTGTGTAGTGATTCCTTTTACTCCAAATGTTTTACACGAGCTCTTGCTCAGAACTTGCACAAAACAATTGTTATCTTTACACTTTTACACTGAAACCAAATACCCACAGGCAAAATCTCTACTACTGAACAGAATAGCTTTGATATTTTTATGTTGCTTACAGTAATATAAAAAATCAACCTATTAGTTTTCTTGCAAAAGCAAATTCTTTATTTCCTAAATTTATCTTCAATTCTGCAGCAGTGCTGGTGCAGTGAAAAGGCTATAGAGAAAAATACAGTCATGGAAAAATACATTAGATCACCATTGTTTTATTTGTGTTATTCATTTTATTTTATCAGATAATTTACTTTTAGAACAAAAAAAAAAAAAAACAAGAATAGTCCATTAATTTTTTTTTCAACTATGTGCAGTCTATGACCTTACAGTGGAATTAGCCCTAATCATAACCTAAAAAAAATCACTGATTTGTGTTGCTTTTAACAGCAATTAAAAAAATGGTCAATCTGTTCTCTGTCAGCCATAAAAAATAATTAAAATAGCTATTATCAGCTTTGGTTGTGCTGTGAGAAAGAGGAAAGGAAACATTAAAGGAGGACAAAAATCTGCTCAATTAGATCCCACAAGTTTAGACATTGGCCTGGTAGGTTTACAGCCGTTTCCTGTCTCAGCCTGTTCCATCCATCCAGGAGACGGAACATTGGGAAAGAACAAAGGAACAGTCACCAGCCTCTCCCACACACCTCCTCTCACTCCTACCCCGTCCGGAAATCAGTAGGAGAAATTACTCCTAAAAGACCGTTCTTGCATATCTATGAAGACTTCTCGGTTGGCAACATGTGGCACTCAGTCAAAGTTGGCTGGAAAGGCCAAAACTCACAGATGGAAAATCCCCAGCTCCCTAGCTCAATTTTCTTTTTTCCTTGTTCTGAGAAACTGAATATGTTAACCTTTGTATTTTTCCTCTTTTTTCATATTGCTAATTATCATGTTGCTACATAATTTAATTTCAGACTAAACAGTTGGAGTAGGTACACAGCAATAAGATAGGAGATTATAAGTCAAAATAAAAAGATTACCTCAAGTATGTGCTCATCTTGTTGCTCCCTATCAAGTCTCCTTGAAGTGGTGGTAACAAGACCTGTAAAAGACAATTAACAACACATAAATATATATGAACACTTACATAAATACATGAAACTAATATGAACAGATAAGATATACAAGCATAAATATATGCAGCAATCTATGTTGCTTCCTATTTCTCAAGTTAAGTTGGGTATTTAAAAAAATACAGTGATAGACAAACAGAAGTTGTCAGAGTTGGGTAGAGAGATCGTTTGATTGAAAGAAGATGAACTGATCTGAGATTCTGTGTGACCTATAACACTATACCCCACACCTGCCTGCTGGGGTCCAAGCAGATTTATTGGGCAGTCCTAGTGGGGCTGCACTCTGTGTATGTCCACATGAAACTCAGATGTTCATAACTACAATAGGGCTGCAACTAACGATTATTTTGCAAATTGATTAATCTGTCGATTTTGTTTTGATTAATCGATTAATAATTGGATAGCAAAAAGTTCCTAAAATAAGACTTTTTGCAAAATGAAACCAGGTGAAACAAAAACTTGAGCAGTTCTGGATAGAGCATACTGACATTATCTTAAATGTAAAAAGTTTATGTCTTTATTTTTTACAATTTTGATATAATTACTGCTCTAAGTGGGTTACTTTGTCATCTAAAGGCATGTTTTAGAGTCTCTACATTCCAGTTGACGATTAATCAATTCAATTCAATTTAGTTTTTTTATATAGCACCAATTCACAGCACGTGTTCTCTCTTTTCTTTTTAGTTTTCCCGATCTTATAGTGTCACTTTTTTTCAGTTTTCTATCTAAGGAAAATCAGTTGATTGCATTGACTCATTGACTCCAATGTAATCCCTCACACTAAGGCTGCTTGTAGCGACAGTGGAGAGGAAAAACTCCCTTTTAACAGGAAGAAACCTCCAGCAGAGCAAGGCTCAGTGTGAGCGGTCATCTGCCGAGGCCGACTGGGGTTCAAGGAGACAGAAGTAGAGATACAAAAAGCAGCTGTAAAAGGCGGCCCCGTCCAGGAAACACACAGCTAGGCAGACGAGCTCTGAGCCAGCTCCCATGTCAGAGGACAAAGCGAGCGCATCCAGCCAGTCACAGTCAGAGAAACAGGACTACACTGGAAAACTGGCCGATCTCCAACATCTATAAACAAGGGTGTGGCAGCAGCACAGCTGATATTTCTATTCAGGATGGTATCATAGCCAAACAGGAACACTCATTGCTAAATTAGTTGACAATTATTTCAATAATCGATTAATCACACTTAATCTGGTGGCACAGACTGATTCTGAAGCTTTGCATCTTTTATTTTTTGTTACCCAATTTTCTTTGGGTAGAAATTTGGCCATCTGCTAAGGGGTATTTTGCACGGACCTCGCCTCAGTTTTCATCCCCCTAATGGATGTTTGGTAGCTGCCCAGTGGACATTTCATCCTGATTAGAGTCATTTTGCAGCACTTGTCTTGAATTGATTGTTGTTGTTTTTTTAATAATAACCCAAAAATAAGTGTGAGAGTTGGGTCTAGTTCAGGGGAAAAACTAAAAAGCATTGTTTTGATTTTGATTTAAAGAAAATGGTAATCTTGCTTTGATCTTAAGGATCTGTTTAAACTGCATGCTTAAAAATAACATGTTTCAAAATCCGCTTTTTGAATGCCAAATCGACTAAAATGAATGTTGCTCTCAATGTGAGGGCAATCTGGAAATAAAATCTATTTTTGCAGTAGGAAGATTTTGTGTCTGGTTCTTTCTTCTATACCTGGTCACACACCCCCACTCTGAAGGTATAAATTAGGTAAGGGGAATTAGTTTGAGCTGCAGCCTTGTCTGTCAAAAGGCAAAAAAAAAAAAACTAAATCATTCCTTTTTCCTCTTACTTCTAATACAGACAGACATGTTATGCATGAATTATGTAAATTGATGTTTCATTACGTTCTGCCTGGCCAACCGACTGAAACATTAGGTATATATTCTGGTAAATAGTTTTATGTATACAGTATATGAATATGAGATGAAGGAGTAGGCATGCAGGTATGAATTGGTTTGTTAACAGTTATGAAACAATAGTAGGAGGGGATGAAGTGGCATTGTAGGGGTATAAACGGTGATGGGCGAACTGACCCAGAGGCAGTATCAAAAACACAGCAGAGAAAAACAGTGATTCAGACAGTTAACTGAAGAGAAAAACAAAACTGAAGCATGTTTTCGATAAATGAAGCATGGTGTGATGTTCTGCTTTCCCAATTTAGATCATTTATCACTAAGAACTGACCATTATGTCCTTGTTTTGATAGATTTTGATTAAGTGTTTTTCAGCTCTGTTCTATTTCTTTTATGTGTAGGTTTGGTACACACCACCATTGCTCCTAATAAATCATTTGTGAAAACTGTTTAACGCTGGGAAGAACAGCTTGGAGGTAATGTTAAGATCTTCAATGCAAGTTTTACATAGAAACAGCTAATACATTTTTTTGGTTGAACTACAATGTCAGCAATGATACGATCTTGGAGAAAGACAAGATTAAATCACCTTTCCTAAAGGTTTTAGCATTATTTATTTTTGTTTTTTGTTCTTTATTCATATGAAGAACAAATTAGGTGGGTTCAGTTCACTATTTTCTGATGACTTTTCTGACTATGAAAAATTGCTGCTAAAATAGCAATTTATGGCCTCGTTAATATTAGTTCCCCTGACAAAGATAAGCTGTTACTGTTTACTGCAGGCCTGTGAATTGTAAATACTTTTGCAAAAAATATAAAATACATTTCATATTGTGAGATATCTATGCTCCAACTGCTGATAGTTCTAGGTAAAGTTATTTTCATCCGAGCCTTTTAGGGTTTATCAGAAACAATGCAATACATTCAGTAAGAAGTAAGACTGCAGCTATTATTTTGCAAATGGATTAATCTGTCAATTATTTTTTCCATGAATCTGCCACATTATCGTTGACGAAGACTGTTTACGAAATTAAACCAGGTGAAACTCAAACTTTTTCATTTGAGGAGTTTTGGATAGAGCATATTGAGAGCAGAATTTTTTTTTTTTTTTTTTTTCAAACTTTTTCATTTGAGGAGTTTTGGATAGAGCATATTGAGAGCAGAAATTTTTTTTTTTATTTATCTTAAAAGCAAAATATTTAGATATTTTTACAATCTTGGCATAATAACTGCTCTACATGGGTTGCTCTGTCAGCTAAAGGCTAAGAGTCTCTATACTCCAGTTAACGATTATTCTATTACTAAAATAGCTGACGATTATTTAAAAAATTGATTAATCATGATTAATCTGATTTCAGCCCTTCTAAGAAGGATTGTCATTGTTGTCAAAGGTTTTTTATTAAGCTCAAATAAACAGCTTTACAAACACTATGATGGTAAAAGCCAATAGCACAAACACATGATTGGTAAAAAAAGAAGTCACAAAACACTTCATGAATGCTACCACGGACTGTGGGTTGAACTAATCTCAATCCTGCTAATTAGCTCATTTGTTTGAGCAACATGGCTGCATCTGTGTGACTGCTTTGCCTGTGGTCTTCCCTGTTACCAGGCAGCCCCCCATATTCTGACATGTGTGAAATATAACTAAGATCTCCAAATAGTACCCATATAGTAATGTAGTCATGACACCCTACTTTTAGTTTCTCCACAAGTTGAATAAATAGATGGCTATGTCAGACAGCAGACACTAGTGAAAGGACATCGTATACCACAGAAAGTTTAGAGAAAAAAAAACATGCTGTTAGTCTGAATGCTTCAACGGACCACTTTCATCCATAAAAAAAATAAAAAAACTGACTGAAGACATGTGACATCAATCTCAGAGAAAACTTTGATAGAGAAAGTACAAAGTCTTGAGTTTCTGGTTAAAGTAATTTTGCACCAAACTCACAAACAAGGTAAGAACAGAAGGAGCAGGGGGGAAGGGTACTGCTACATTCTCCATTATAGGCAGCATTCAGCACTCACTCCCAGAGTAATTACAACTTTGCAGAGCCTGAGTGTAGAGTAGGCATGCCAACTTTGACCGCACCGGAGTTTTCTGCCTGCCACAGTGCATTTGATTAGCATAAAGCGAAGGATTTCGGAAACCCAAACCCATCAGTGGCACATATGCCTGCAACAAGAATAGCAGGCCACAACTTATAGGTCCACAGAAATAGCCATACCCTTGCTGAGATTGAGGGATATGAGAGAGGCATTGCTGCTTGCTCTTCTTTTTTATAATCCTCCTGGTCTTAGGCTTTATTTAATCTTCAGAGTAAGCTGAAGAGATGTAAGTCCTCTTATATTTGTGCAGAAAATGTTGATATCTGAAAGTGCAACCTATATTTTTTTGCTTTACTTGCTAACCATGGTAGCTCAAGAAGTGCTGGCTTATTTAAATTTTGTAGCTACTCTTTTCTAAACAAACAAAAAAAAAAAAACAGAAGAAAAAATATATATTTAAAGAGAAGACATCCTCCATAACTACCAATGAAGGTTAAAAAAGATGTTGCAGCCAAGGCACCGCAAATTATCTTTAATAAATGTCTTATCCAGAAATTATTTTTTGGCATGTTGCACGGTGTTTCAAGAATTATCATCCAAACAAATAGTTCTTGTTTGCTACATCAAAACCGAACAATCTTACCAATTATTAATCTGCCGTTTTAAGGTCAGAGATGATGGACGGCCATGTTTTTCACCTCCCCTACCCTTTCACAGAGGAATACAGAAAACTATTTTCACACCACATCTACAAGTCTGATTTAAATTATGTATCTTCAAATCTGCTACTCAATCAACATATAAATGAGTGTCATAAGAGCTACATATTTTAATAGTGAAGTATAATCACCATGCCAACCCTTTCTTTTAAATGAAATTTCACCTAAGCTAGAGAAATACTGAATTTGTAAAACATTATTATATAAACATGTGAATGAACTGGTATAGTTAGTTTACACTTCAACACTTAAGTAACAGGCTTTAAAGACGACGTGTTAATGAGATGTATATTTTTCTTCTCTCTAATTTATAGGTTCTATGAATAGGA